TATACAATGATCACGGATGAAGACGATCTAAGTCACATGGAGCTATGATAGACCTGAGTCGATGCTGCTTACGGTGGTGATGCCTGAGCAAGACTAATGGTGGTGGCATTGCAAGGCCCGGCGGTGTAATTGGGCACCCCACGAGCGTAATGGTCGAGCCCCTGCTGGGGAGCACGACACTCCATGGGGAAGCGCCAATGACTGCAACTCTTACGGGCACAAATTACCCCATCGTCATTATCACCGCCGGGGGCCTCCATACGCCTCTTCACTCGCACCGATCCCACTGAGCGGCGCAAATTTTTTATCGCTTCATGTTGCATCAGGACAAATTTGGTGTCATACTGCGTTACGTTTCAGGTTATATAAACATGCAGTTGGTGAGTTTTTAGAAAATGTCGCTAACTCTATAGCTTATTATACTTGTTAAATTCGCTATCTCCATTCTTAACTGATGTTTATCTTGAATATTTATTTTTACCCTAAAAAATTATTCGGGCCAGGCGCGGATAGACTGCAATCTACACCTATCGTTCTTATAGGTTCTTTGTAACAAGAAACTTACGCACCACGCATTTATAACTCTAAGCCTCGAAGGTATCTCATTTTTCTGAAGATAGCTCATTTGCCTGTGTCTACTTTCTATTAAAGCTTCGTTGGTTCACGAACTGCTAGATTCTCTGATGAGCTCCGTGATCCTCACACTTGGAACACGCTGCGACGGCCGAGTTACCCTCGTTTTGTTTTTGCCGCAACATTCACGATGTGGAGACCTCGCGCTCTCATTTTTTGCGCTTGCAAGTTGCTATTTATGTCGGAAGTTGTCGAACGCTGCGCCCTCCTGCCATTTATAAGAGCCTTGCTGTTCTATTGCTCTCGCAGCTACACGCAACTCACGAGATCACCGGGAACTCTCAAGTGCTTGCTGCTGTATGTCACTGCATTAACTTTACTGCTTGGATTATATTTTTTTGTGTACGAAAGAAAATTTGTTTTCTTGTGTCTGATATTCTGCATATTGTGTTGGTGCATCCTGAAACACGTATCATATCGCAGATTCTATGTTCGTTTTTTGGCCCCAATATTCTCTCGGTAAACTTATAAAGTAAAGTTAAAATTAATTATTTACATGAATATGTACAAATTCAAACTGTCAAAATTCATTCGTTACTCACACTCAAACCCATTAGTCTATCAGCATCACTATTAACAAATAAATAATTGTTAAAAAATGATTTTACCTTGGATAGCTTCAAGTCATCGCATGGTAGTTTGTCGTAGCATGTTTGAATGTGGTGCATGTCTCCATTGTTCGCTATCCACATTAACGCTTTCAGGCGACCGATGCTCGGGATGCGCACCGCCTCAGCTGCAGTGCGCTGCTGCTGCTGCTGCTGCACCCGGCCATGGGTGTTCATGACCGTTCGGGAGTGTCGGGTCGTGTATTAGTTGGTGTAAATTTGGCGAGAGCAGCTCGTGCACTGATTAGCTGCCTCGTAAATACGCCGGGCGCTCTCACACCGACCACTCGGATGAGTGTTCGTTGGGGACTCTGGCCCCGCTTCACGGCCCCTTCCCCCACCCAAACCGCGAAGAAGAAAACTTGCCGAGCACTCTTCTGAGGAACACATGCTTTTTCGTACCTAATTTGTTCGCATGATTGTCATCGTACTCATTTGGGGCTAAATAATAATTTTTATTTGTAGAACTTTATTTAAAATGGTGATTGAAACTGGAATAACTTTACGCAGAATATTAACAGACATTTTTAATGTTCTAAAGCTAAACAATACGCTATATTTACCTGTCAGAAACATGTTTGTTCTTGATATCCATTCTCTTCTTCTCTATGAGACGCATTAAAACTATATCTTAGTGCTTTCAAAATTCATTGAAGATAGGCGTGTGTTAACGGCTTTGTTCATATGGTAAGAACGAAATACATTAATAAACCCGGCATCAACGCTTCGGCGATGTGAATGAGCCTGCAAGTTCCTGACGCAATGTGCAAGCAGCAGTAGCTGTAAAACACCCGATGTGATTTTATTCATAAAACAAATAGGTATATAAATATACACGTTACCAAGTTTGCTTTGTTGCGGAATAAATCTTTTCTCTCAAGTCTAATTTAACTGGTTGCTCCGTGCTGACTTCGTGCAATGCAAGCGAGCGTCTATGTATAGAGTTTCATGGGCGACTCGTGGATACATGGAAAGGCCATGTTTCCCTCCTCCCACGTGCCCCGCTGCTGTCAAGGACCGGCAGTATTGGATACCCTCCTAAAGCCTTCATGTTTATGGCTAGTGAGAAGAAGCTCGGATTACACGAGAGCAATGGGGCTCTCGAGGGAGCGTCGGCCTCCAGCCCGGCCGATCTCTTACGGATGAGAGAGCGACTCTTGTGGCCCGAAGAGAGCAGTATTATTGCTTCGGTCGTCCTCTTTGCTTGCGACAAATGCTACCTTATTTTCTCGTGATCTAGGAAGCGCAGATGCCACATTACCGCAGCCTTCGAAGGTTTTGGATCCACGGGTGTCTCTATTGAAAATTTATGCGCGACTTTTAGTTCACGTGAAACCCGTTATGATCCACCTATCTGAATTACTCACGTTTTTTGTTACTTTTTTAGTGCCAACGCAAGTTCATCCTGAGCAGGGAACGTGAGCTGTTTTTTTTAGTCAACGCAAGTAGTGCACACTTTTGGCAGTCTATGCGTTTTTGGAATTAGTTGTCTCAGGTCATTAGTTGGAATAATTAGTTGGAATTAGTTGTCTCATACAATTCGTCGTCACGTTGACTTGAAATCGCACCAGACAGCACTACAAAATATAAAAACGTCTTAAAAAAAAAATTCAAAATTTCTTCAACCTCGAGAGCAGCCGTTCCTTTCGGCATCTAGGCTGTGTAAATCAATTGAACTAAAAATAAGATACTTTTCGTCCCGAACCGATGAGTGTCTGTATATAGGTTAGCTATTCCGTCCTGGTTCCAAGCACGGAATTTTTTATAAAGAAAAAATAATGTTTACTATTTTTTGGGGGGAGGGGGACAGGGGGTCATTGCGCAACACGTATTTCTGCTTATCATATTCGACGAGAGTGTGATCGCTGCGTGCAGTACACAGTATAGCGACGCTACACCTCACATTTCTGGAGCTCTGAAGTGGCTTATGATGTCCCTCAATAATTAAGAGCGTAGGTCAGTTATAAAATCATTACTATGTTATAACAGCTCAGGATATTTATTATACTGTCAGAATTAAGCGCGTTGGTATGAAGGAAGAGATCTCGAGTATTGTTGCATGGCGTGTGTCTAGTAAGGTAGTGGCTGTTGTGTTGTGCGAGCTCGCATTTATTCTGAGCTGTGTCGTACGTTGCGGTGCGTCTACGTGACCAGCTTGCAAGCCGCTCATTGTTGTGTCTGCCGGGCGCCTCTTGCGGTCTTCTTCCTTTCCTGCCTGTGTCTTTTGACAATTGGTTTTGAATTTTCAGCGTCACCTGCAATTTAAGTCTTGCCCTACCTGTATTATGTTGCGGGAATCGAGCAGTGTATTTTCTGCTATGCATTGCGTCATTTGCCTTCTCCTTGTCTTTCGAATGCCCATCAGTAAAGTATTCGTATCATTGTGTGGTAAACCTTGAGCTACTTATTTTTTAATTAATCACTTGTGCATCGTCGTTTTCATAAAATGTCATGTCATAATTTTTATTTGTTGATGTACTTTGCTTCAAGTATGCATTGCCGTGTCGTACACTCTAGCTTTAACTGCGTATATGACTCCATATTGGCAGATGTCCCTGTTATGTTGAATCAGACAAATTTACCCTTATTTCATCATACTTTTAAATTTTATGTGCATTAGTAAAGAAACGTGATCTCATTTATAATTTTTTTTTTCACTTGCAACAATCTACTTGATCACCGCATTGAAATCCCATATCAGAGTTAGTATAATGTGGGTTTGTTTCTCCGCAGAGTTTTTTAACGTTGTAAGCTATGCGAAAGATTCGGTTGAGTAGAACAGTAAACCACGTTAGCTGTTCAGATCTTTTTGTTGACTCTTGATTATTATCACTTCATGCTCGGTGGAAATTAAATCAATTGATTTTGTCTAAAATAACAAATGGAGCTAGAAAGCCACATCCTCATGAGCCCCGTGAAGCTGCATAGCTTTGAGACCGAGCGCTGGTACCGCAGCTAGTACATGTTTACTGCAGCAAAGATGGCTGCTATGGCATTTGCATATAAATTTTGCTCTCTTGGCCTAACTTGCGAGCAAAAGTTTGACGTAACTGCCGTGCTGAAGGGTTGGGGAGATTTTGCAGAGGCTGCGACAGAAAACCAGAGAGTGTGTGTAGGAACTTAGAGTTCTTGCGAGACTTTTGCCTGGGCGTCACCTCACTAAGAGCGTCACTACGAAAGCTTTATCCTGCCATCACGAGCCTAATGCTGGGGGTTGACTGCGAGCACTACCCTTGCCTATAGTCTTCATCTAAGCATTATTGTGTGTTGGCTCCAGCCGAGTGCCATCATGTGCTTCAGCACTGCTTGCTTCCCTTCCATTGTGCTGAAGCAAGCAAGCACTGGTTGCTTGCCTTTTATTGTTCCAATCGCCGCCTTCGAGATCGCGAGAATTTCTTACCTATTTATCCGAAGGAGGCATCACGACTACTATAGCTTTCCTTCTGTGAGAATTATTATTATTATTATTATTCATCTTGGTTGTTCTGTGCATTTGTTTTAAGGTTTTAGGTTCTTTTTTACTGGTGAAGTTCAAGTTTCTTTGTGGTTGCATTTTAGCTGCTTGTTAAATTCGTGGTGAAACCGCAGAATGTTTAATTTTTTAGAAAATAAACGTGTATAATTCTTCATTCAACTTGTAATGTTTGCTGTTTCTTGAGACATTTTCATTCAAAATATCCAAATATATTATAATTTGATTAAGGTTACGGTATTGTTTTATGAGAAACTTGCTGAATAATTTGTGTTCGTTTGCAGTTCTGTCCCTCCGTAACACTCAAGAGGAGGAACCACCCGATCCCCAGCTCATGAGGCTGGATAATATGCTCATCGCAGAGGGGGTCGCAGGCCCCGAGAAGGGAGGAGGAGTGGGAGCCGCAGCTAACGCGTCTGCAGCAGCCGGAGCAGGGGACTCTGCCATAGAACATTCCGATTACCGGGCCAAGCTGGGCCAAATTAGACAGATATACCACCAGGAACTTGAAAAATACGAACAGGTGAGTGTTGTATAAGTGACCTGCTTGGGTGGCTATCGCCTAGATCTCTAGTCTGCTGGCGATGAGGTGCAAGCTAATCAGCGAGACGTAAACGATGATAGGGTCTCTTGTGAAAACACTTTATGCTAGGTTATACTTATATATGTATTGAAACCTGTCATTGGTTATGCTGATGCCAAAGCTTAGTACAAAATAATATGAAATTTCTGACGTTTTGACAGAGAAGATAGTTGTTTTTCTTTTGAATAATCTTTAATGGCCGTTTGACAATAAAAAGTTCACACGAGCATAATTTTAGCAATACGCATTGAAAAGTATTTTTCGTAAGGATTCCTTAATATTCTTCGAGGTAAAACGTTGGCTGTCTCGAGGTATTTGGCTCCCGAGTTTTCATAAATTTATAAACGTTGTGAATTTGTATATGAGCGTATTGTTATTGTAATAATCAATAACTATTTGTCTAGAGGGTGACTGTCTTTCTAATTTCAAAATAGTTTGCTTACAGAAAAATAGTTTTCTTGTGCTCCAATCCATGTGAAAACTAATGCGAATATCCCACTTTTTGGATGATTCTGCTCACTCCGAGTCATGGCGGTCGCAAAGCTTAAGGATGTCCTAATGGCTTTGCCCGCGAAGAATTCATTTTTATTCTTGCCTTCTATTTTCTACGTGCTTTATTTTGCTTTAAGATGGTCGTATGCTCGGAAGTCGCTCCTTTAACCTCGTAAATCTGAAGACTACACCTGTCTTCGAGAGAGGCCATCTTGCGCACTCACTCACCGCGACGGGGTTCTCTATTGACCAGCTCTTCCTTTCTGATGATGTCAGCACCTACGAAAATTATCGCTCCACTCCACTCACAAAATATTGAAAAGGAATTCAGTCTGTTGAAATATTTCCTGGTGGGCACCCTTGACTGGGAGGAAGGCCGTACGGTTAGGTCTTGAGAGAGGGGAGCACAGGAAGAACGCCAGCTTCTTCTACGCGTTATGCCAGATGCTCGCAGCTACGCAGAACCTGTAGCGCTGCTGCTCATCATTTTATCGCGCATACTGTTACCTGAATTGTTTTGCTCACTATTGATTGCTTGCTTTTGCTGATTCAATGTTTTGATACAGGCATTGAAATAAGAACACTAGTTACTATTTTGTAAATGCATCTACAATATTTAGTTTGAGTTTCGCACTAAAGGAAATTACTTGCAGAAAAATAACGGAAATGAATTTGCTAGAAAGTATTATCTTAATTTAGAAATGGTTGTCATATGCCTCATGCACATCTAGAGCGTGCAAGGGAGAGGCATGGGTCTCTCGTACATTATGTCGATCTCTCACTCGCGCATGGTGGAAAACCCGGAGTCATGCTGCGCAACCTCACCACGGGACGAGTATTGCTCTCCTCTAGACTTGCTGTAACCATTTTCTCCTGGTGCACGTTGCTCGACTGCAGCGGTCCCTGGTGGCGAGTATTTCACACAGGCAATTCCAAGTCCGAAATAGCGAAGCGTGCGTCCATCAGCCGCCCTTTGTTGGGCCGACACAGGCGCGCTCTCGGACCTACACCGACCTCGGTCGTCTCACAGATGCGGTCAATTCCCTCGCGCAACCTAAGATGTTCATATGAACAACAAACTAAAACTCTTAATTCATCTATTTTATTTCTTTCAAGTTTTAATATTTCTGCTGTAGCGCACGTGAATGCGATGAAAGTTATTAAGGACGCGTGAATTTGTGGCTTTGTCTGTAGCTTCATTGCATTACTAATAGCAACTCTCACTTGCTCTCTTTCTTCTTCACTCTCTCAGTCCCAATGCCGTTCTTGCGTCTCAACCTCTCAATTGATTTCTGATTGAAGCTCCAAGTGTTGTTGACGGTCTCCAAATGGACCAAATTCGTTCCTGTCGCATCGCTTTCTTCTTGTCAGCTGAGGCAATTTCCTCGTACGATCTCTAAGCGTGCTAAGCGTGGGATTTCATGATTGCTCAATCATGCTGCTTGGAGGTCGCTTATGATTTCTTGCTTGTGGAAAATTTAGTTTACTTCACTAATCGTCTTTTCCTTAATATTGCTAAATTAATCTCGGTATTTTCACAAAACAACCATCGTATTCATTTTTGAAATTCGCAATTTTGTATTAGTTTCAATCAAGTCGCCTGCCTGTGGCAGCTGTTAGTCTTAAGGAGATCTTCTTTAGTTAGTTGTGCAGAACTCGGAATACTCTTTTTCTGAAGGCCGTGGAGGCGCTCCCATGATTCGCTCTGGAGATCAGCGGCTGAGCGAAGGATTGCGGCGCCTGAGTTTTCATCGACTTCCAACTTTAGGATTATATTCGAAAAGTTGGCGAAGAGACCCGAGGTCATTTGAATACTGGAGCGATCGGCGAGAACGCTAAAAGATGGCCGTCCTCGACAATAAGATGGCAGAGTGGGGGCAAGATTTGCATGAAGGACCAGCGCCAAACTTTTCCGCGTTTGAGCTCAACGCTTGTATAATGGCAGTGATGCGCTCCTTGCTTAACTTGTCGTTATTTCGACGAAACCCGAATTATTTAATCATAAAATATCCACATATGGTACGAATGTATACAAATTATTCGTGGACCATCCAGCTTTTCGCCTTCACCATAAGTTTAAATATTTGCAAGATCAATGATCATTTTGACTCCAGTTATATCGATTAATCGTAACATTTGTTCACATAGATTTGTTCCTTCCATATGTCATCTACCCCCTGACCTTCCATGGTTTTACTGAGTGTATTATTCTTTTTTATCTCCATTCTTGTCATCAGTATCGAGCTAGTCGACCTCTGGTGAGCAATGTTTTCCCTCTTCCTGCCCCTAGAGGCTCGCTGTAAAGATTCTAGAGCGACGCCTGTGTCGACCTACAGACTTTTCATATTAAAATGCAAATCGTTCAAGTTGGAATGGCAGCAGCAGTGTTGTGAGAGTGGATAGCTTATAGCGCAAGTCTTAGCTTCGAGTGCTTCCTCTTGACTCTCTCTCTTCTTGGTGTGGCGTCAGCGCCAACTTTGCTCCGTGTGCAATCTTTCTTAAAGAAGTAACCATGGAGTAACCGAGTGAGCAAAAAATCGTTGTGGACTTTCAATTATCGAATCAGGGGCTTCTTTCGATTACATTCTTTCAATTTCAAACAATAGCGGCTACCAATGCCGCTAAACATAGGGATACAACATTTTTCCTTCGTATTATATATGGCCTTTGTATCATAGTATCCAAAAATTTCCCTGTCTTCCAAAGTCTTTGTTATATAGTGTTTTATGTAATTTATTAACTTTTGTTCAACAGGCATGTAACGAGTTCACCACACACGTGATGAACTTGCTGAGGGAACAGTCTCGCACACGGCCAATAACACCTAAGGAAATCGAGCGTATGGTCCAAATTATACACAAGAAATTTTCATCGATACAAATGCAGCTAAAGCAGTCCACTTGTGAGGCTGTAATGATTCTCCGATCACGCTTTCTTGACGCCAGGTTAGTTGAGATGTTTTTATATTAAAATAAAGTGTGTTATATTAAGGAATATAGAGTTCCAATTTTGCCTTTAAAGAATTTGCAGACCGAAAAACAGAAAGCTTCACGAAGGTAACTCAATATAAACTAAATTTTCCTCGGTTCGTGGTGGTTCTGGTGCGAGCTGAACTGGCATTGTGAATGCTGGTAGTCCAGCGTATGCAGTCTACTGCGTCAGGTTTGCAATGAAGTTTCGAACAAATGTGTTTCATCGTTAACATTTGTTGCGAATTCTTCTATTTCTACAAATATTGATCCTACAAATTTCGAAAACTCTTTAATTTCTGTGTCAACTCTTTTTGGTTCGATACCGGCAGTTGCATAGAACATCTTCCTTCATATACTGTTTTCCGTGTCATTCAAGTAAGATTTCACCAATATTTAGATAATTCAAGTTGAAAATAATTATTTGAATCAAATATACCGAAACATGGTTTAGTTTTTGTTTATCTTGCAGGGTACAAGTCCGACATGTAAAAATAAATCATGTCGTGAGGGATACTGGAACATTTGTTGTGACGCCCGTAGACTTGCTGCATTATCAATTACATTACACTCTGTAAAGAAATTGCCGTGAATAGACAAAATTTCCAAAGCGATTATGTGCAGTTATAATTGTACCAAAGCCATTGTGAAGTATTTAGGAAACGCGGATCGGAGCTTACCTCGCACCGATATATTTACCTATATATGTAGTTGACAGTGAGATGCTCCTCTGAACTATACCTCTTCACATATGCATTCTATTTTATTTATCTAGTTTAATTACTGGATAAATACTGTTCAATTCAATGAATATTTGTTACACGAGCTTGATCTGCTCCGATCAGCGTTTCCTAAATACTTCACAATGGCTTTGGTACAATCATAACTGCACATAATCACTTTGGAAATTTTGTCTATTCACGGCAATTTCTTTACAGAGTGTAATGTAATTGATAATGCAGTTTTCGCACATAACGAGCAATTGATGGCTGATAAGGCAGAATGGATATATGTAAGAGCTTAAGTGAAGAAAACCCATGTCAAATTATTACACTTTATTAAGGTTGGCAAAACTCGCTCATATAAAGATCGATCTCTACGCAGCTTATTAGAATTTAATTTTAATTTTCAAGCCATTTCAAGGCAGAGATCGCCTTACCATAATACGACTCTCTCGTTCAAGTAATGAATACTTGGCGGTTTGGCAGAGGCCTCTCGAGTTCATTTCATTGCGTGTGATTATCATGTAATGAAGTCCTTAGCTAAGCTTCGTGCGCTCCCCATTAGTTTGATGGACTCTAAAACAGAAGCAAGCGACTGATGCGCTCGTAAAACTCCAGTCCAGGCTTCTCACCCTCTTACTTTATGACTTGCTAAACGGCAAGCCCTTTGTCTTCTTCTTAAATACGAGTAAATGCAACAATCATCTGTTGCTTACCCTCATGTGTGTAGTGTCAGCTTGAGATGGGATATCTAATGAATTTTATTCATTGTATGTATATTTTTTGACATATCAATTAAGCTTCGGTATTTTATTTAAAATCTCGGATCATTTCAACCTACCGCAGACAATTTACACTGTGACACCGCGGCTCTGAGTAAGTATGGCTACTAAAAGGTTAATATACAAATTTTGCATTCTCATAGTTATAATATGAAATCAATGTTGTATTTCAGGTCATTCAGACTTTTTTGTGGTTTGACAACCATGTTACAAACGATCTTGTGATCAACTAATGTTTCCTCCACGACCAAGTTTCTCGCAGCAAGGTGGCTGACTGGACGTGAATACAGGGATCAGCATCTCTATTGCTCGACTTCTCTTTATTGTGTACTCTCCCCTATTTTCCTTCGCTCCTTTATTGAACTTGGGGTGAAATTTTCAGGAGACGTCGCCGTAATTTCAGCAAACAAGCCTCAGAAATCTTGAATGAATATTTCTACTCGAACCTCTCGAACCCGTACCCGTCAGAAGAAGAGAAGGAGGCGCTTGCCCGTCGCTGTTCAATAACGGTCAATCAGGTACCTTTTCAACCTATTGATCCCGTATTACATTTACCCATTTTTGGCCAAATCAACACAACTTCTCACACGCGACTTTCTCATCTTCTCTAGCGACAACAACAAATCCCGTGGCCGATTAATTTTTATCTATACTTTTGTTGTGACGATTATTCCCGTAGGCGTCGTTTGCGTTTCAAGACTTAGCCGTATCTTACTTCACCTGCTTGCTCCTGTATTTGCTTCAGTGTTATTACAGCCCATCGTTTGTGCCGGGCTCAATGCACTTGCACTCTTGCCTTGGCATGATCCTACCCAACTCCTGCACTAGTTCTCGCTGCTGTTGGCTCCATGTACGTTTACTTTACACTTGCGAGCTCAACTTGAGGAAATAGGCTCGTTATTGTAACCGGCATCTCGTCTTGTCCCATGGTATGGAACACCCTCTCAGTTCACGGTCTAGTGCGTGCAAAGCGTGTTTTCTTCGGTTTCGGTACTCGTTAATAGCACTGTTTTAGTTAACTAAGTTTACTTTGTATTTCATTTGCATTTACGTATAAACATTCACCACTATCCAAGGTCTTCTTTTTCACTAATAGTGTTTATGACCTAACTCTAATTCGGTATTCCCAATTCTTTTCATCTGGATGATTCTTGCAAACGGTACTACCAATGATCTTAATAACAACGCAACATCATTTGGCACTCCATAAATGCCCTGTGATCTCTTTTTTGGTGCTTTTGGTGCATCGCTTCACAGTTATTGTGATCTCGCTTACTTTCCTTTCCAAGATTGTTCTACGTGCATTTTTTTCGTTTTTTTCTTTGATTTATTATTTCTACATCTCTCACGCTTCGAATCGATTCACCGTTTAGTTTTTTCTTTTTGACATTTTATTTGCTATTAATTCTGGGCAAGGTTGATATTTTTTTACCATAATTTAAAAATTACAGGTGCTACTTTTCTTAACTCCTTTTCATCCTATGTGATTTCAACCTCTTCCGACACTTCGCCTCACCTTGATTTTATTATTTTTCGTTTTTTTTAGTTTCATTTTGTTATGGCGCTTCTCATTGCAGACGCAAAAGGCGGAACTTTACCAAACAAGCTACCGAGATTTTGAACGAGTACTTTTATTCGCACCTGAGTAACCCGTATCCAAGTGAAGAAGCCAAGGAAGAGCTCGCCAAGAAGGCCAATATAACGGTATCTCAGGTAACGAAACTTTGACACGCCCCCTGTGTAGGATGCTGCGCCCAGGGGCTATACTTGTACAGCTCCTCGTTGCCTACTGTAGCTTTATCTTTCTATTGTTTGTTGTACCAGGCCTATGCTGTATTCCTGTCTCCCTGTAAAGGGGACCTGTAAATGTAGCTCTTGTCAAGCGGGTCTGTACCGTAGCTGGACGCTGATGAATTTTCCTCTTCGGATGATCCACTTCATTTCTCTGCCGTTCGAAGAGCTTCTCTCTTGCTTTATGAACAGAGTCCATTGGAAAATTGAGTACTCGTGTTACCACTTGGTGTGTCGCTAGCTGCCAGTGTCGTTACTAGTGCCCAGTTTCTATTACAGGAGACGAAGGCGAAACTTTACTAAGGAGGCGTGTGCAATTCTGCAAGATTACTTCTATTCCCACTTGTCGAATCCTTACCCAAGTGAAGAAGCTAAAGAGGAGCTGGCTCGTAAGTGTGGGCTCACAGTGCTCCAGGTAAACCCCCTCAATGGAGCCTATGTCTCCTCACAAGTGTCGTGAAAGCATTAGTTTAATAACATAAGATAGCTCAGTCTGTGCGGCAGACTTAGAGGGTTCTATTCCCACCACTGCCCCTCGCTTCATTTTTCCTTCAATACACTCAGTGACAGACGGTAGCAGAGGAGCAAACGTTTACATGCGGTGGCTTCTTGATAGTTTGTATAGCGAGTCATACTACCGAGCCCTGACTTAGAGCGCAGGAGTCATGGTGATGCAGGGTGATGGTGGGGCTGGAACCTTCTTGCGATAGTTAGCCACTCTTGCTTGCCACCGATGCTCGTCTTTGGCTGATCACAAACGCTATGCCATCTAGTATAGCTTATCGTAGTGTTGCTGTTCTACCACTACTGCTCCCCTGCTGCTTTACTGTCACTGTGTGTCTGGAGTGTAGCGAGGAGGCTTTCTGGGGCCCTCACCATTTCAGTGAGAGAAGCGACCGAGCTCTTCATAATTGACATGTCAATTTACCGCTGCACTTAATATTTCTCATCAATTTGGACTTGCGCATTTGAATCTTGTAAATTTAACGTTTCAAGTGACATCTATACCGAGGTCAATTCCATTCAAAGATTTTCAGCCGTATCATGTTTCTTCGAGTGCATTGGTAATATATCTATAGGTGCTTCAAAAGAGGGGGTTTATCTGACTGTTGAGGTCATGCTTAGGCTGCCCTTCTGAAAGTTCCGTCGTTTATGGTCCCGAATTTTCCTCTTGCACGTCGCTCAACTCTGTTAATTGGCAAAACCATAAATCTTGATTTCGTCCCGATTTTTTTTCATTTTGCCCTATTTTTTCATTCTTTACCACTTTAAGGATATATTTAATATAGGTGCCTAAGATATGACTTAAATTTTGCATAGTGTTGACCATTATCACTGACCATAGATATTATGAATTTTAGGCATGAATCGGTTGTAGGCATTCAATTTTCTGCATGTTTCTGTTACTTAATTAAGTTTGCATGATATGTATTGATTTTTTTACGTTTAACAACTGCATCACATACAGTAAAACCCAATAGATAACATTTAGAATCGGGAAATTTATATTTCTTCCTCGCATATCAATGAACACAAATGTATTGCTCGTGTAAAAGTGTGTTTTGAGGGCTGGTTTTGTCTGGCAGTACCGCCTGGTTTCTTTAGCCGACCTAACAATTGTCAAGCAATAAGATGCTTGCGGTATTAGCACGGCTAACACGTTTGTAAGATGATCTGACTTTGGTAACAGTTTATTGGTTGCATGCAATTTTAAAGCGTTGTCTCCAACTGAATCTATCGCTGCTTTGCGCTTACGTCACTGTACTGCTTGAGAAACCTTGTTTTTTTTTAATTGTTTTCATTACATCATCATTACATCATCATTTCCTGCGTCACTACACGATCACCATTACACCGATGTTTTCTTCACATACGAATACATGAATGTGGTATCACTTGCTATTATGATTTGTTGATATATTCCATCGTTGTCATAAGTTTGAAATCTTTTAATATGCTTAAATGAGTAGTATACAAAATTACTGGAATATGATGAAAAATTTGAAACAATTACTTCTTGTTAATTTCAATCTGGGAGTTTCATTCAAAGTAATGCTTTAATTACATAATAAATTATTCATGTGAAACGACTGAACGAGTAACTTATCTGAAACTCGCGGGAATGAAAACGTGTATTCAAAAAAATAATAATTTTCCGTGGTTAAAGATTAATATTAATATCATTTTAAATTTTCACATTAATTGCAAAAATCTATCGCAGATAATGTCACAATTTTAACGGACTAATGTTTGTTTGCATCCCCTTACTGTGAAAACGTCGGCTCTGGCCACGCGATGCTCTAACGGACTTGCCATGTACCGCAGGTCTCCAACTGGTTCGGCAATAAGCGGATCCGCTACAAGAAGAACATTGGCAAAGCACAAGAAGAAGCTAACTTATACGCTGCTAAGAAAGCAGCAGGTGAGGGTCTGTATCCCAAGTTTTTTTTCTCGTTTCTCTTGCCATGAGGTTATATTCCTCATCGTTGTTAATATATTCTTTCTTGTATCTTGTATTAACGTTTTCAATTATGAATTTCAGGTTTTATGCATTTGTGAAGATGGTAAAGAACCGATGTAATTCTTCTTGATTTAATGACAATTTTTTTATTTTTAATCATTTTTACTAAAGTATGCGTAATTTTCTTCAACATTATCTTACTGCTGCAAAATTGATTTCACAACAGATATCCGATCTGTGCATAGACATTAATAATGCTCAGTGAATACTCTTACTTCATTCCACACACATACACCCGATTTATGAGAGGTCTTCCTGACATTTCGATTGACTATATCTTCTCTTTGATCACCGGCGTTCTCGTTCTTGTATTTTGGCTTGGCTGTTTTGCGCGTCTCCCGCGTTCAGAAGAGAAGGCTTCTAAGCGGCGACGAGTGCAACCAATGGCCTAGGGGTCGAGGGTGGGACCAGGGGGGCCTCCAACGATGACCGTAGGCCTTTATACAAAATGGAACCGAAGCCTGAAACTTCTTGTTCATTTATGCTACTTTTGCGTACGATCATAACAATAATCATTCTTACTAATTGTAAATTTCTGTTCGTTTATACCATCTATCTCCTTTATCCAAAAATCTATCTTGAAAATTGAAATATATTATTTGCTATATCCTCTTTCTGGCTATGAATTATTGTCTCGCCGTAACAGTTTAACATCTGTCCCCGAAATTAGTCCGTTCTGCATATATACAACTAAAATTTGCAGCCTTCGACAAACTATCGGTGTTTTTTAATCATGTTTCATCATATTGATTTTAATATTTTTGAAAGATTTTCCTCTTCGTCAATAGTCGGTCACATCAGGTTTAATTCCTTAATCCCTTCCTCCAAGTGCAATATGTATATAGGATTACAATGATAATATATTGTTTTTATTCATACATGTTGCAGCCTCCTTTATGGTATCTTCGCCATTTATTTGTTCACATTACAATCGTAGGTCATTCGATTCTCTGCTGTGATGTCGATCCTCATTCCCTTTATTTCTGACCGTGGACACTTTGATGGACAGCTTTGTGTTAGTCTATAGATATGTCCCGGCAGCTTTCGTGGTTTCGTGTAGCGATCACTTTCATTTTTTATGGTATCTCGTGACATTCGAGGCGGTTACGGATTCGTGTTAGGTATCGATCGAATCTGAATCGATTTTTTTTTAATTTAGGATCTCCCTGTTGTTGGCAAGCGACTGAGACAATTAATATTGGCTTGAATATTTATATTTGCATTTGATTGAATATTGATTGCACGAAAGATATTATATATTCTTCTTAAAGGCTTTGTCAAAAGAAATGAATTGTGATAATAAGTGTGTCGTCACCTCGCACTTTTATAACTTTCAGTTCTGGAAGTAAGGCTGCTAATAACCGTGCTGAACGTGATAAATAAGTAATAAGTATTGTCATTCCCGGAATAGTCCACCATTATGATTCTCGGATCTAACATTTGAGCCGAAATTAATTCAAGAATCGAAATTACTCATACGCTAGTTTCATGAAATATTTAGATGAAACTAGTTACATTTTTGCCGAAATTCGTCATAGTATCTGGCATGGACACAAGTTTGAGGGACAGGCCGAGGTAGGGTAGGTCTTACTTGATGGACAGGAGGCAGCTCCCTCGCAGCGCTGATTGACGTGTAGAGGGGGAGTCGCCGAGCCTAAACTACAGCTGCTGCGTTGGCCCATCTCCTCAACTATCGGTGCTGCTCTCTACCATTCTGACTTTCTAGTGACAACTTGTTTCGTTATGAATTTGTTCCAATAAACTTCCATCGGTATTCCCTTGAATTACAGTGAAGCGAATATTTTTCTTGTGTATACTTATTAGTACATCTGTTGCACTGAACTCAGTCACTTTTCATTAAGTAGTTGAGCATTAAAGGAAAAAATACTATTAAATCAATATCGCTTGCGCGAAGTTTGCATGAGGCATCCTAAGTAATTCAATTATGCTCGACTCAGTTTCCTTGGTTTTTAGGTGATTGAAGCAGTGCGTTTTTTCATATGTCTCGCTGTTTTTTCGGAACGAATCGAAGGAATATTGCAAAATGCAACGATGGTGGGTTATGCACAAACTAAATGGCATATACTCTGTTTTCCTTTAACTTTCATTTAATATTTTTACATTGCATGTTTATTAGTTGAAATCTAAATCATTGACACAAGTTCAAACTGTTAGCATACATTTATGTATCTTGTACAAGCATTAAATTTAATAAAAAAAATTACATATAATCTGAAAGTTTGCTCAATTAGTTACGAATCGTGCTCTCATCTATTATACTTACTCATTAATCCTGTCAACGTGAGAATAAGGTGTGCATGCTCAATGCTCTCCTTATCTATTTCTGATCGTTTTGTCTCATAAATGAATTTCTCAGTGATAAGTGATAATTTTCAAAGCAAAATTATCAGTGATAATTTTCAGAGCATTTCGAGTGATTGAAGTCAAGACATATGAAGCCAGATCTGTTGTTAAGTTGTGCATTAGCTTCCTGGTTCAAATTATATAAATGATGTTCATTTCCTGACTCATGCTGCTAATGGTCGTTCGGCCAGAAATTCACTTCGAAGTAATTTAAAGATTCTATTTCGCATACTGTGTTCATTATTCAAATAAAACACATTCATATGTTTGAAGTTGTTAAAATGATGGTAGCGATTTCAATCTTGGATTGCTTATGAATAACGAATGACATTGAGACGTGGTGATGCCTGTACCATCTCTTGCTGTGTACAAGCTTTAATTAATTACAACGACTGTGTTTACTGATGCAAGCTTTGCTCGCGGGTCTTGTAATGTCGGTATTAGCGTGGCTCACAAATCTCTTTAATGCGCGCTCGCTCGTTACCAAGTTAGTTCAGGCGTGTTTACTGCCATCTTAATTGTATGCGCGAGTAAAGAATCTTCGCCATTTTCGACTTCCTTCCTTTAATGTGGTACATAGCTCGCATCAATTATTACACTTTTTTCAATAATTTAAATTTATTGTTCGTTCGATCTTTTGATTTCCAGCTTAGATGTCTAAAGTTTTTTGTTACATTTCCTCTTAGAGTCCGAATGCATTGATCGCCCGAACAATTCCGTTCACCTTATCCGCCATAACTTAACGAAGAACTTTAAAAATTTGAAACTATGAAATTAAACGATAGTTGTACATATTAATTAGGCTTCTTCTATTCGTCTTCAGATGGTTGATGCTTCGTTATAAATATGAAATGCAGGCGAACAGATCGAATACGGGATATTATCCTACAATTTCATGAAAGTAAACTACATATTTTATCACAACATCAATTTTGGTTACGGTGCTGATCTTTCAATTAGTTACTGGCGAGATCTCTCTTGAGAAGTCGCAGACCTTAGACTCCAGCGTCTCGAAATGGACAACCGGGACGAGACGAGAAATTAAAGGGAAAAAATTACGGGACCTAGGATAAAATTTATTCCGGAATAAAAAATAACCGGGGTAAGGCTTGTGTTCCGGACTTTAAAACTTGTATCCGGATAATTATGAAACGATACGAGACAGATGGATCTAAACGAGACGCGAAAACGAAACAGCGCGGAGATTTGCGTCGATTCCTATATAACGCGGAGCCTGGCTGTTAATTAGATCTGCTTTAAATTTCATGCATATCCGTTCAGAACTTAGGGACTTGTGAGCTGTTCAGTTGTGTAATTTTTTTTTGTCGTTCTAATCGATAGCGAAATGACGTAGAAATCTGTAATAATTCCTCCCGCCGCGCATTTCCAACAATTAGTTATGTTTTCAATTTCACTGTGGCCCTTCAAATCGCTAAATGTGCAATATCCATATCATTTTACTTAGTGATATGCTTGAAATGTTGTAAACAGACCAAATGTTGATCAGATATTGTCTGAAACAATTTATTGTTCTAATTACATATTAAGGATTAACTTTCTGTCTCGCTATGTCTCGTTATAAAAGATGAAAATTTCGGAAATTTCTAAACTCCTCTTTTAACCGGATCGTCTCGTCTCATTATTGTCCCGAAATTCCCACTGAGTGATGAAATTTGTCCCGGTTTATACTACTACTAACCGGGACAAACCCTGTTGTCTCATCTCGTCTCGTCCCGAATGGAAAATTATCTAACTCAGCAGTGTAATATAATAGGCCTATGCGACATGGACGTATTTAATTACAAATGAGTCTACTATAATAGACCTAATGGACATGGACGTATTTAATTAAAAATGAATCTAATATAATAGACCTAATTGACATGGACGTATTTAATTCAAAATGAGTTTAATATAATAGATCTAATCGACATGAACGTATTTAATTAAAAATGAGTTTAATATAATAGACCTATGCGAAATGGACGTATTTAATTAAAAATGAGTTTATTATAATATACCTATGCGACATGGACGTATTTAATTGAAATTGGTTGTCCCCAGCAGGAGCATCACCATACAGTATGAGCGGGACTCCAGGACCCATGATGTCCCCGCCACCCGGGGACGAGTCCAGTATGGGTGGATATGGCATGCCTGGCATGAACGGCTCCGGCTACTCGGGGGTGAGTTTACATTTCTGATGATGCATTTCTTCGGGCAGATCTGCACTTCTTCGTCACCGTCAGTTATGTCGCAGCGACCATGCGCTAAGTTTTACATTAACCTCGATTATATTTAATATTGATAACTATATATCCGAAAAATATTCCATACCTAGACCTCTATCAGTTTTCTATCAAAATTGTGTGATAAATAACTTTGCTTTCCAATTGCGGTATAATTAAATGTTATCCGTTGTCTTTTTGTCTATTTGTTCCTACTTGGAATAGAAACAACCTTTACTTTTATTTTTTCTTATTTTTTTATTTGTCCTCGACTATCATTGCGAATGTAGCGGGTGTCAGATTGAAACATTAACGATTATCCGAATCTAATTCAAATAAGTGAACTCTTTTTTTATACTATAATGGGTCTCTAACCAATTTGTAAAAATTAAAAGTGTACCAATGCAATACCAGCAACGCCATCAGCCCTATCAGGAATGCGCGCTCTTAGCTAGATACTGCTGCTGCGATTGCGTTTGCTATAGATCAGTTATTATGTTGCGAAACGTAGATAAAATCGCCATGGTTAACGATTGTATGTTTGGGTGGCAGGCGTTGGGTTATGACCTCCATCCCGAGTCCCCCGATGTCTAGGGGCTTCAGAACAAGAGCCCCTCTGCCTCGCCTCCCCAAGTTAGTGAGAAGCGCATTTAATGTTGCATGTCGTTGTTAGTTGTTCTTATTGCATCTAGTTACTTCCATTTGCGAGTTGTTTCTTTGCTTCGTGCTTATGTGCGGGCTCTGCCGTAGCTTCTCGATTAGATCAACTTTTTGAATCTCACTTGCTTCTCAGGAAAAAATGTCATTTCCAAAAGTCGTTTCACTTGCTGTTTTGTTATAAGTTATTGGTACTTTCGCCAACTCAATGCATTTGTGTTGCCTGATTTTGAGCATGTTTTTTGTTGTGAATTTTTTTGTTATAATTGAACCGTAAAGGTTTTCTAGCTTCATGAGTACGTTTCGATGAGATATCAAATAAGAGAAGTATGAAATTTATTAATTAATTGAACCCCGAAGCAACCCTCAAGCTTCCCGATCAGTTAAACCCTGTTGTTTAACATGTGAAGTAACTATTTAATGTAATACCTATGATGTGCAGTTGTTTGTTCTCTTTCTTGCTGTAGTCATGACAAATTACAAACTATGTTTACCGTTCTGGTAGTGTTGTTTTTTTTCTGTATTTTTCCATTTTACTCGTGGCTCGACTTCCTATGTTTTTCACCATGTGCTATTAAATGCGTGGGTGAACCTCTTTATGTGCTTTTGTATGAACACTAGTCTAAATTTCATTTTGAACTATTAACTGCATAAGAATGATAATTTTACAAGTACCGTAGTTTATCGCTATATTTCGTATTACTAACTGGAGTCAGCCTGTATAATCACTCGTGCATTTTAGTTTTCTCTAACAGTATTACTGCTGTGGTATAGAACATAGTCTTATAAGCTTCTGCCTTTTTTAGTGTTTTGTACAAAAAATACTGTTGCTATTTGGTTTGTTGACAATTACATGTTATCTTATGTCTTGTTATCTTGATTTGTGTAATAATGTGTAATGTTTCTGGCAGTAACGACCCTGGGGCCGCCTCTCACCACCATCGCTGCTCAGCCTTGGCGGTGAAAGTCGCCTTTCCTATCGCCGGAGCCACAACCTCTTGCTTCTGTCCGCCGTCGGGCAGATCAAGAAGACAAGCAAGGTCCCCGGTGTCCGCTACTGGAGGCGGGGCGTCTTTTGCCGCCCCTCAGTATACGATCACAGCCTGGGCCCCAAACCTCACCTTCCTTTCCCCTTATTAGCATAAGAGCAACACTTCCTCTCGTATTACTTTTAAGATATCCTTTTTATCCTGGCTTTCATCCTGTACCTACCCATCCTCAGTTGAGAAATGAAATTCCTATCCTTAATATCCTCCACTTTTCCTGCGCTCTCCTCAGCTCTGGGGGAACAGTCCCAGGTCTGTTTCATGTCCCTAGCAAAAGATGTTGCGCAATGGAGACGGCGCAACAATGTATACGGTCGGTATGTGATAGTCCATTCACGTATTGCTTTTGTTGTATTTTGAAAGCTTCAACTAAGACGTCGTCTCCGACGCAACAATCTTATTGCTCTCTGAACAGACAAATTAAATTTCAAAATTATAATTCTTTTCATTCTTGAGACTGCATTCTCTGGTATAGAGTTCAAGTGGTCATCTGCAGTAATTCAAAATATATTTCTGAACAAAATTTTGACTTCTACAAAGTAGTTTGCCAACTGTGTTGTGGCTTCATGAAAATAGCACTGGTTTCGTGTACAGTAGAAGAGTATGTAAAATAGCAATGACGTCTAATTGAGGTAGATAACTTGTATTGGGTTAGTGAGAGGAACGCATCTATAATTACTTAATTTACTCTTCCCCCTCAGCCGACGACAGCATCCATCCCATGACTCTTCATCCTCTCTGTCACTAATGTTAAGCCTGTTATGTAAGGCTCCTGTATCCAATACTCAGGGCTCCAGGCTGAGTTAATAATACCGGTAAGGCATCCTTTACTTTACCGGTGTAAGGTCTCCTTCTCATCTTCCTCGCCAGTAATTGGTATCCTTTCCTCATCCTTGTGGTTAGGCGTCCCACCATCATTACCCTCACCTTTTATATAAGGCAGCATAATCCTTAACCCGACGACTAGACGCCTCTACGCTTTCTTCATACGTCATTCGTTAAACCAGTTCTCCAACACCTCTTCAAACGCAACATTTAACCTTTTGAAATTTCTTGGTATCCATAGCGACTTCATTCAAAAATCGGTGATTTTCAACCTCGGTGATTGCGTTCTATTTCATACACCTTTCATGTTACTAGGATTCAGAATTGAGATTGGTTTTATCTCTCTGTACATTTGTTGTACATTTTTCCAAATCCTTGCGATTATCTTGTAATTCGATTAGACAGCTTAGACTGTGTATATCTTCGCCCCTCCCATCAACCCAGTATACGCTTTATTCACCGTGCATTTTTTCAACACAACCCGTGGGTGTCTAGCATTCTTTTTTCTGGTTCCATTGTCTAGGAGCAATTGTGGCTCAAACGTTTAAATGCCTCGTTTAATTGTTGGAAGGATATATTTTGTTGCTAAATTGTTTGTACTGTAGTTGAAAATTCAGCATTTCCTCGTTCTCGTTACCGATTAGCTGAAACACATGATAGGAGAAACAATATTTTTGTTTTGCAGCTCGCAAATGATAAATGATTATGTATTTTGCTTCTGTGCATTCCTGTTACACTTGGCAATCATCACGCTAAACATGTGTTTAGTTCTTGAGGTGAGTGCGAGACCGTTATTCTTGGGTTCTGTTTCCTCTCAAACAAGTGTTTTGCTGTGGGGAAAAATCAGCTTGATTTATCTCTGCCGATACCTGTCGTAACAAACCTCCATAGCATATTGCTTCTCATCCGGGTATCCTTACCTATTTTACTTTAAAAGAATAGCAATTTAATTTGAAGCTAAAATTTTGTAGATCATCTCCCGTGCGGTCTGGGTTTTTGTCAATTTATCCGCGAGTTTTATTTAAACTGTATTTGTTTGCGCGAGTGTTTTATGCCGATTTTACATGTCTATACGTACTTGCTGAAGGTCTACGTCGAATTCCATTTTCGGGTCGAATTGTTTCATTGTTGATCAGAATCTGCTAACCGGCCTTTTTTCGAAATTCGAGTTCTGCTTGCAAGAGCTACAGCACTTTGTGCCATATTCTTCCAGGGATACGGTCGCTCATTTCAGTTTGAGGCTCAAGTGATTATAGGTTTTTCGATTTTTCTCTATTTGCGCGAGTGTTTTATGCCGATTTTACATGTCTATACGTACTTGCTGAAGGTCTACGTCGAATTCCATTTTCGGGTCGAATTGTTTCATTGTTGACCAGAATCTGCTAACCGGCCTTTTTTCGAAATTCGAGTTCTGCTTGCAAGAGCTACAGCACTTTGTGCCATAACCTTCCAGAGATACGGTCGCTCATTTCAGTTTGAGGCTCAAGTGATAGGTTTTTCGATTTTTCTCTATCATGGCCAGATGTTTATATTGTTGCTGTATTTTACGGACATCTTGTTGATAATAGTATTGGAGGCAGCAAAAAATACTACTAATTTAAACTTCTTAGAAGCATTTGTTCCCATTTTTGATTAATGATAAGTGTTCATTTTGTTTGTAGAGTCTGTAGGGTACATTATGCGTGTAAGAGAGCAGCGAGAGTGACGCTTGTAATGTCTTGCTCTCCCTGCTCTCCGTTACATAACTGTAAGGCGTGCATACACACGAGTTGTGCGAGGTAGCTAGAACCCAAGTATACAGTGATAATACTTCAGTATACGAACAAGAGAGTTTCCTCATTGACAAAAACTACGATTAAAAAATAAGCTATAATAGCCATCCCTATTTCCGCTGAATTGTTAGTTATTTTTTTACTCATAGTCAAAGTTTTTGGTAGCCAAAGGCGATTCCGAAGAAAAGGATCGATGCGGCTCTTGTACGTAGTATTCTACTTGGTGTATGTAAGCCAAGACTCTTCAACTGTCTCTTTATTGTCATTCTTCGTGTGATTGTTGAGGCGGGCCGTGTTCGCTGCTCCTTCCCTCGCTTCTCTCTGAGTAATGTTGTCTGTAAATGTATTTCCCTCTCTGCATTAAGTGCTCTCCCTTACCGTCCCTCTCTCAAATACGTTGGATGGGGCGGTGTCCCGAGAGATTTTAGCTCTTTTGCGACGTCTCCAGTGCTATTCTTTTGCAATTTGTAAATGTAGTCTTACTAGCATTTTGCCTGCAGGGACGGTTTAGGACAGACTTGTATACTTATTTTATTTATATGAGTTTAAGTGTATGAACTAATTTTTCACTCCTGATCTACTTTCTATCCATAATGGTAGGTAAGCTGCGCGAACTTCATCCTCGGGTACATACATCATCCCATTCATTTTTCTCTTTCAGTTGTTTGGAAAAAATACCTTTACAGTTGTTGGAGTGACTGTTCAAGGCACCCTCAGCTGAAACAGTTGTTTTTATTACAAATTGACTAGTTCCAGAAAACTTCACTCTTCTTTGATATCCGTCTGAATACGTAGACAGACGTTCACTACCTGACCTACGATACTAAATATGCTTTGGTAACCTTAACCTTCCGGCGCAGTAGCTGATGTTCTTTGCCTGGATCATTTAGTTGGATCTCCTCTTCCTTTTGGCGACCTAGAGCATTTTGTACAGTAACAGCATTCACCTAATTAGGTACAACTGAATAGACTTAATAATAATCTATGTCCATTGGTTATTGAAGGACGTATAGGAATTCTAAAGCGTTATCAGGTGAACAGAAGTTAATTTGGGCTTGAATCAATGCCTGACATGGTGAATCCGCCATTTAATTCGCTCGGATAATCCATTGGCATTTTAATCGAGAATGGAATTTTCTTCTGTGGATCCCTGCTGCGTTTTTTGTGGAAACTTTGTGTTGTAAGTTAAAATGAAAGCTCAAGGTAGAATATTTTAGTGTCAGGTTCAGAATATTCTTGGTTGCATTTACTAAATGCGGCAGCAAAGCTGCGTCTCAGTATACCAGAGTTCGCGCCTCGTTCTCTCGTCGCCTCTCGCTCTAGGGTTAAGACAGAGATGAGGCTGTGACAAGCTGGGGTTCCGACCCCTGCACGAGGAAGCACTGTTTATATGTATTGTAACATACAAACTTTTATTATAGGTATGGATGTTATCAATGATTTCAGATGCTCGCTCTTTCATTGTGATTTCTACTAAGACTCCCTATCCGCTAATCGATGGCAATGGAAGTTAGAATCAATCAAATGGATACTCAATGCACGAACGAAGTTGAAGAAATCGATCACTAAATTATTGCGATGTTAGTTCCAAGCGTGCGAACCCATTATTAAGGAGAGCAATGAATCGAGAAGTTTATCCGACAGTACATTTTATCAGAGAACACATGTCAGTTTTTCGCTCCACAAGGTATAAATGAAGAAGAGAGGATTATAGAAATAAGTGATTTAATTATGGACGTTACTCCACAGCTAGCCAGAGAATAACTCAATCCATGTGCACTAAACGTCAATACCTTCATTTATATTGTTGCACAGCTTAAAATGTTCCCACGTCTAATTCACTTCAGCAGAAGGCAGTTTATACAAATAAATCTCTGTCGATTCGCACATCATTCTAACGCGGTTTTCGTCTCTGAGAGATAATGACCACTGATTTTCAACAATCAAAAATTAGGTGAAAACTTGTTTTTCCTGCTTAGCACTTTCAATAGTAGGTAGTCTCGTGGTATAAAAATAGTAATTCCTTTGTCCTCCATCTTTTTGAAACGATCTCAACGGTCAATCACTTCATTTTGAGTACAAATTAATTCCATGCATGAATAGATTGAAATGGCACTAAATGAGTAAAAATATTATACTTCAGTTGTAGCCCAGCAGATGCCAAAATTATAGCGACCGTGCCATCAGCTACTTCAAAATTTGATTGCTGGGACGTAGAGGCGAGCGAGGAACTGCCTTGGTATTTTCTTTATTTGAGATGCTCTTGGCTACTCGCCCGGGACAACCACTTGAGCTTGTGGAGGGCTTCTTGTCTGCGTCCCCGAGTCTTTCTTCTAGACGCTTTATTGTCTTCCGCTGCTTTTCGCTCTCCACACGCAGCTTGGTCACCTCCTGTGAAAAAAAAAAAAGTTTCGCGTGAAACAATGCACTGAGAAAGATTTGAATAGATTGCCATCAAGCAATAGTCGAATCTATGGAAGGCAAGTAATGAAAACATCACTTTTAATGAGCAAACAACCAAGAGATAAGAGCTCCGCACAAAGCGAAGCCTAATTTGAAAGATATGATCAGCAAAAGTTTGACTTGCAAGTGAATCGGCTCTCGTCAGCACCAAGAACGAAACTTACGATGGCGAAAAGAACAGAAACGAAAATTTTGAGATTTATTGATTTTCACTGCCATTATTCGCGACATTTTCGACAGCAATAATATTAAAAGTAAAATGACATAGAATGAGCGGCCTGCAATAACTTGGAAGCATAAAAATACCATATGCAAGAATCAAGTTATTAGGTAAATATTAATGACGCCCAAAAATGCGAAAAGAGACGATATTGAGAGCCGTCACACATACCTCCAGAAGCTTCAAGTTCTCAGCCTTGAGCTTAACGACATGCTGGATCTTCTGCTTGTGGTTCTGGTGGCCCAGAAGAGATACATATTTTTGACTGAGATCTTCGACCTCTTTTTGGGCAGCTGTCTTAGACCTCATCAAAATTTCACGTTCTGCTTCGTAATTTTCCAACTGATCCTGCAACCATAAAAAGAACTTAGGAATTTGGGTAAAACATTTGAACACAGAATAATTTTAAAAAACATAGAGGTCAGATCAGATTTCAGAACAAAAACTAAAAAGGGCTAACTTGAAGCTCGCTTTCTCTCGTTCCCACACATTGATTCAATAAAAAAATCCAAAATACACGACAAAATAAGTCACAAATATCCCTGAATTAAAACTAAACCCGGTAATATTTCAAATGATTTCCATGGCTCAACCTGTATCCAAAAGTCATTAAAAATTTAACATTATTCAAAATTTTAAATAATTATTGGATTTCTGAGGAGTACACAAACAGTTGCTGAAAACATGATTTACTCTGAAAGGTTCGACGAGTTTCTCGAGTTGAGCGCATTTTGCCTGCCATTCTCGCTTCTGATCGTCGGATTTCGTCAGGTAGTCGGAAAGCGTCGACACAAGAGTCTGTAGCTCTTCACATTCGGTGTGGTGGCTCCTTAGCCTGAAAGTTGGATTGCCTATCCATTTATAACACCGTAGTAGAAAAATTACCTAAAGCTTAAACCTAGGAAACTGGAATTACTACCTATACAACACCTTTTGAAATTTCAGTTTTCTCCCAACAACGGAGATGGAAAACAAATCGTTTAGAAATAACAAAACGAACACTGACTTATGCACACAGAACGAATGCCTTTGGTGTAGTTGAAAATAGATCACCAAGTAATAAAATACCGGCACAAGTCAACAATCAAGAATTTTACAAGAAATTACTACAATCACAAGTTAATCACGCAATAAATCTCGATAACTTTCGCCAAATGCTCAATCGATAATGCCGTGCATCGTTACGCACAACTTGTTCCCACACTGGGATCAGTATGCGGTAATGAGAAAAATGTAAAATGCTTATTAAAAATAAACAAATAAAACTCGACTTTGACCAAAAAATTAACCAAAGCCAGTTAGAGAAAAAAAACGTCGATGTAGAAGCCTAATATTCCAATAATCATTGTCTTACTCGTTCAAGGCTTCCGTGGCCAGATTCAACTCATTTCGGCAGGCTTCATTTTCTGTCTGAAGATTCAGTAGCCGATCCCGAACACCAGCAAGTTCAGATTCCACTTCTGCCTTCGCCTTTAACAAAAAAAGAATTGGTAAAAAAAGACCAACACGTTGATGAAAAAAGACCAAATTCCATGTTACTTGACGAGCATGACTGTCTTTCAAAATAAACCCTAATCATACAATAAAAATCACTCGTTCACCACCTAGTTTACAGCCAAAAAAATAAACAGCCAACTTGAAAATGTTTTACATGAGTGACCTACAGCTTCTCGTTTCTTAATTTACAATGGCATGATTAAAATACTTCAACAAATGCACACAATGTTTTTATTTTCCTACGTTACTTTAAATTTTACCTGTGTAACGTTAAGCAGCTGCTTCTCCAACAAATCAAATCGTTCCCGTGCAAAAGTTACTTCAGATTCCAACTTCTCACGAATGGCAAGACTTTCCTCAGCTTCTTTTCTATTCTTCTCCAGTTCTCCCTATTTGATGATATGCGAATAAACACAGAAAATGTACGTGAAATCTTAAAGCTACTTCGAATAGTCTCAAGCACGTAATGAAACTTGCGTGCGTCTGCATATCGAACGTCATCAGTAAATCTAGAATGAAAAGCAAAAAAACGTTTATTTTCAATGGACTTCATCCACATGTAATGTTAGCTGCCAACACAGCGTCAGAAATTAGAAATGTGTTGCTGCCAACACAAATTCACATAAAACTGTTCGTCCAGACAAGATGACCAAGAAAAGATTAAACTTATCGCACATATAGTAACAAAAAAATACATACAAAATATATACCGGTAGTACATCAAAAAATCTAGCTATCCCATTCAGTAAGTAAATATTTGCCAAGATCAAAGAAAATTACTCAAAGTTCACAACGAAGCTTGGTACATGCCATTCTGTGAATTGTGACTCTTGTCATCTAATTATTAATAAAAAGTCGCAATACCTTCATTGAATCAAACTCCAAAAAAGTGGCCTCAGCGGCGATCTTTGCCTGCTCCGCAGCTGCGTTTGCTACCTTGAGCTGCACCACGTCTAATTCTGCTCAAGGGAACTTTTAAAAGATATGCCCAGCAGAAGTTAGACTTGAAAGTTAATCGGCTCTCCTCAGCACCAATAGGGCAGGGTGGCCCAGTGGTTACAGTTCAGAGTACCAAGATTGGCGCAGAGAGGCGCGGGTTCGATCCCAGCTCTGTGCGCCAGTTTCTGGTCAGAATCGGCGAGGAGGCCGGGCGGTTAAGCATAGCAGAATTGTAGCAGTGAGTAGCGAGTTCGAGACCGCAACAAGCTGTTGATGTTCTGCGATGTTAAGAATCGGCGACAGGCCCATGGCCTAATAAACGCTGAAACCGCTATTTATTATTACCAAGAACTAAATTTACGATGGCGAAAAGAACAGAAACGAAAATTTTGAGATTTTACTAAGAAAACAAATAATTAAAATTTACTGATTTTCACTGCAATTCTTCGCGCCATTTTCGATAGCATTAATATCAGAACTAAGATGACCTAGAATGAGCGGCCTGCAAAAACTCGGGAGCATAAAATACCATATGCAAGTATCAGATAATTAGGTAAAATTTAAGGGGGGGGTGTACCCTCCAGAAAAACTTCCACATTTACAAACGGATCTTTCTGAAACTTCACACATATATGTGAAACCAAAATACAAGCACATTTTGTACGTATACTTTTTTCGAAAAAATTCATAGAAAACGTGAAATTCATAGAAAACTAACAGAAAAGGGGGTACTTCAAAAATCTATCTCCTCCTACAGTTTTCAAGCTACAGCGATGAGACATTTACAATTCGATTTGTTAAGACCATACCAATCGAGTAACTCAGCCCGATTTTTCATTTTTGCCTTAATTTTTTTACACGCATTTTCCCGTTTTCTTCTCATTTTCTTCTGATTTCCACCCTCTCCCCATTTTCAATCCAAACTATGCACAAATCTAAAAAAGGCCGTGTTACTCGATAGGTATGGTCTTTACAAATCAAATGGTGTGTGTCTCATTGCTGTAGCTTAAAAACAGTAGGAGGAGATAGGTTTGGAGTGAGAGCAGGTGCAACTTTTCAGGACAGCCCGACTAAGTCCCGCGCGCATGGGAATGGGCACTCAATGTAGCCAAGATACAAAAATAAACGTTACGGGAGCTTGATTCCAGTCAAGGATGGTGGGAACGACTGCATGCACAAATCACCGTGTGACGTCAGGCGGGTAACTGAGCTGCAGGGCAAGAAGACACTCTATATATAATGCTCGGCAGCTAATTTCCCCGTTTCTTAAATGTTAAAGAACACCGCCACCCCCCACCCTTTCGCGTTCTGCCGTGAACGCATAAATCAACGTACAGATATGATTTTAGTACCGTTGAATGCGTCAGAAAAGCAGCTTTAATTTGAGTATAAGAACTGGAGAATATCATAATTGGCCGCTTTACGTCAGACGATCCCCTTTATGGTGCCCGGCCGGGTAATTTCCGCCTTAACTTTACTAAAGGGGCCCGGACACCTCCCCCCTTTCGGGACCTGTCGCGAACGCATAAATCAACGTACAGATGCTTTTAGTACCGTTGAATGCGTCAGAAAAGCAGCTTTAAAATGAGCATAAAAACCGAGAGAGTCAAAATTTCCGATTTTTAGGGTATCCCCCCCCTTAAAACGCCCAAACATGCGACTAGAGATGAGATTGAGGGCCCTCACACATACCTCCAGAAGCTTCAAGTTCTCAGCCTTAAGTTTAACCACATGCTGGATCTTCTGTTTGTGGTTCTGGTGGCCCAGCAAAGATACATATTTTTGACCGAGATCTTCGACCTCTTTTTGGGCAGCTGTCTTAGACCTCATCAAAATTTCACGTTCTGCTTCGTAATTTTCTAACTGATCCTGCAACCATAAAAGAACTTAGGAATTTGGTTAAAACATTTGAACCCTGAATAATTTAACCACATAGAGGTCAGTTAAGATTTCAGTGCAAAAACTAAAAAAGGAGAGCTTGGAGCTTGCTTTCTCTCGTTCCCACCCATTGATTAAAGTAAAAAAGCAATGATACAAGTCAAAAATATCCCTGAATTGAAACCAAAGCCGGCAATGATATTTCATGGCTCAACCTGCATCTAAAAGCCATTAAAAATAAAACATTAATAAGAAGTTGAAATCATTTTCGGGCTTCTAAGGAGTACACAAACAGTTGAAAGCACGATTTACTCTGAAAGGTTCGACGAGTTTTTCGAGTTGAGCGCATTTTGCCTGCCATTCTCGCTTCTGATCGTCGGATTTCGTCAGGGAGTCAGAAAGCGTCGACACCAGAGTCTGTAGCTCTTCACATTCGGCGTGGTGGCTCCTTAGCCTGAAGGTTGAAATGCCTATCCATTTAAATCACCGTAGTAGAAAAATTACCGAAAGCTTAAGCCTAGGGAACTGAAATTACTACCAATACAACACCTTTTGAAATTTCACAGTTTTCTCCTGACAAAGAAGGCGGAAAACAAAACTTCGATTTTAAATTACTTCATGCACCGCATGTTGAACAAAACGAACCCTGACTAATGCAAACAGAACGAATGCCTTTAGTGTAGTTGGTAAGAGATCAACAAGTAATAAAATCTCGACACAATTTAACAATCTAAAATTTTTACAAGAGTTCGCAACCATCACAAGTTAATCACGCAATAAATCTCAATAACTTTCGTCAAATGCTCAGTCGAGGGTACAGCGTCAGTGCGTCACGCACAACGTGTTCCTAAACTGGGGTCAGTATGCTGTACTGAGGAAATGTGAAATGCTCAAAAAATATAAAACTCGACTTTGACCACAAAATGAACCAAAGCCAGTTAGAGGGGAGAATAATACTATAAACAACAAAAGGAAGCTTCAATCGCGAAATGAAGTCGATGCACAAGCATAATATTCCAATAATCATTGCCTTACTCGTTCAAGGCTTCCGTTGCCAGATTCAACTCATTTCGGCAGGCTTCATTTTCTGCCTGAAGATTCAGAAGCTGATCCTGAACACCAGCAAGTTCAGATTCCACATCCGTCTTCACCTGTTACAAAAACAGCAGTTTTCAAGAAAAAATACCAACGCATTCAAGAAATAAAACCGAATTCCATGTGACTTGACGAGTATGACTCTTTCAAAATAAGCCATTATTGTACAATATAAATTACTCGTTCATCACCAAGTTTTCAGTCAAAAATTAAACATCCAACTTGAAAATGTTTGACATGGGTGACCTACAGCTTCCAGATTCTCAATCTACAATGGCATGATTAAAATCTAAAAAATTTTCAACTTTGTGGCACAATATTTTCATTTATAACATAACATCAGATGTCGGCGCTAAAGAGTAGGTCTGATGTGGCCTGTCGCCGATTCTTGAACTTTTCATGACTTGTTCACAGAAGATCTAAAATCGTGTCATTTGACCGGATCTTTTCGAGACTAACGATAGTTTGAAATAGATACTAGACTTCCACCGGGTTCGATATGGTGCTAGGCATTTCAAATCTGAACATATATTTTTCCATAGCTTTATCTAGTCTGTTCTTGAACGCGTTCATACTCGGAACGTCTAAGATGCTATATGGGAGGCTGTTCCACATGTCGGTGATTCGAAGCGAGAAGAAATGTCGCGTGGACAAGTTGCAGCGCAGTTTTTTTTAGTTTACAGCCGTGGCCCCTGGTGTTGGTTCTTGTTTCAAATTCTAGTAATCCTTCGGGGACCTTTTATAAGCCATGAGTATACTTGTACACTTCAATGAGGTCCCCACGCAGACGTCGATAACCGAGGCTTGGAAGCTTCATAATCTTTAATCTCTCTTCATAGGACTTTCCCTTCAAGCCTGGAATTATATCATCCAACGTTACGCTAAATTTTACCTGTGAAACGTTAAGCAGCTGCTTCTCCAGCTCATCAAGTTGTTTAAGCATGGAAGTTGCTTCAGATTCCAGCTTCTCACGAATGGCAAGAATTTCCTCAGCTTCTTTTCTATTATTCACCAGTTCTCCCTATTTGACGGTACACAAATGCACACAGAAATGTATGAAATCTTAAAGCTACTTGGCCGGCCCAGTGACAGTATTCTTTCAAAAAACCTTGAACGAAGGAACTTTTTCGTCCGATTGTAAAGAAGCTCAAGTAACACCACTGTTCAAAGAAGGTGACAAAAGTAGCCTCCACCGGGTTCGATATGGTGCTAGGCATTTCAAATCTGAACATATATTTTTCCATAGCTTTATCTAGTCTGTTCTTGAACGCGTTCATACTCGGAACGTCTAAGATGCTATATGGGAGGCTGTTCCACATGTCGGTGATTCGAAGCGAGAAGAAATGTCGCGTGGACAAGTTGCAGCGCAGTTTTTTTTAGTTTACAGCCGTGGCCCCTGGTGTTGGTTCTTGTTTCAAATTCTAGTAATCCTTCGGGGACCTTTTATAAGCCATGAGTATACTTGTACACTTCAATGAGGTCCCCACGCAGACGTCGATAACCGAGGCTTGGAAGCTTCATAATCTTTAATCTCTCTTCATAGGACTTTCCCTTCAAGCCTGGAATTATATCATCCAACGTTACGCTAAATTTTACCTGTGAAACGTTAAGCAGCTGCTTCTCCAGCTCATCAAGTTTTTTAAGCATGGAAGTTGCTTCAGATTCCAGCTTCTCACGAATGGCAAGAATTTCCTCAGCTTCTTTTCTATTATTCACCAGTTCTCCCTATTTGACGGTACACAAATGCACACAGAAATGTATGAAATCTTAAAGCTACTTGGCCGGCCCAGTGACAGTATTCTTTCAAAAAACCTTGAACGAAGGAACTTTTTCGTCCGATTGTAAAGAAGCTCAAGTAACACCACTGTTCAAAGAAGGTGACAAAAGTAGCCCCGGTAACTATCGCCCATGTCAGTCTGACAAGTGTCGTTTCTAAGGTAATGGAATTTGTTGTGAGGGATGGGATTATCGATCACTTGACTGTTCACCAACTCCTATCAGACTGTAAACATGGTTTTATTGCCGGTAGATCCTGCACCACTAACTTATTGTCTACGTTGAACGATTGGACTCGCTTTGTGGACGTAAGGGAGCCAGTGGATGCATTGTACCTCGATTTTGCCAAAGCATTTGACAGTGTTCCGCATGAGCGGCTGTTACGTAAAGTGAAGTATTTAGGAATTGAGGGAAACGTACTCTATTGGATCAGAGATTTTCTAGTAGATAGACGATAACGTGTCAGAATTAACGGAACCGTGTTAGACTGGGCATCAGTGAGGAGTGGCGTGCCACAAGGAAGCGTTCTTCGGACTATTATGTTCCTCGCTTTTATAAACGATCTGCCACAAGTAGTGTCCAGCGTGTGCTCCATGTATGCCAACGACACAAATGTTTACAATACAGTGAAGGATGCGTCAAATAAAGTGCAATTGCAAAATGATCTTGACAGTTTAGTTAACTGGGCTGATACGTGGCAGGTGCTGTTTAATCCTGACAAGTGTAAAGTACTTGACCTCGGGATGAACAATGAACAGCAAGATTACAGTATGAGAAGACATGGTTACAATGAGAGGGTAATGATCGAAAAGTCTAGTGTGGAAAAAGATCTCAGAGTTCATGTCGACAAGGAGCTGAAATTTTCTAAGCATGTTGAAACGAAAGATAATACATCCAAACTTATTGGTCTAATCAGACGCTCTTACGAGCTCCTAGATGCAGAAGCGATGAAGCAGTTGTTTGTTGCTGTCGTGTGACCGAATCTAGAGTTTGGAAACGTTGTGTGATCACCGAGATTTGGAAAGGGCAAAAATTTGATAGAGAATGTTCAAAGACACGCAACAAGGATAATTCCAGGCTTGAAGAGCAAGTCCTCTGAAAAAAGATTGAAGATTATGAAGCTTCCAAGCCTCAGTTATCGACGTCTGTGTGGGGACCTCATTGAACTATGCAAGTATACTCATGGTTTATCCAAGGTCCCCGAAGGATTACTAGAATTTGAAAAAAGAACCAACACAAAGGGCCAACACAAAGGGCGCTCCAAGTATGAACGCGTTCAAGAACAGACTAGATAAAGCTGTGGAAAAATATATGTCCAGACTTGAAATGCCTAGCACCATATCGAACCCGGTGGAAGTCTAGTATATATTTCAAACTATCGTCAGTCTCGAAAAGATCCGGTCAAATGACACGATTTTAGATCTTCTGTGAACAAGTCACGAAAAGTTCAAGAATCGGCGACAGGCCACATCAGACCTACTCATCAGCGCCGACATCACTATTGTACTATGTTAGGTTACATAAAGGCTTGAGCACGTAATGAAACTTGCGTTCGTCTTCATATCCAACAATATCAGTAAATCAGGAATAAAAAACATAAAACGTTTTTTTAAATGGACTACATCAACAATCAACGTGTAATACTTGCTGCCAAGTTAGTAATTTCACTAATGTGTCATAAAACAGTTCGTCAAGGCAAGATGAACAAGAATATATTACACTTCTCGTATATATAACAAAAAGTACATACAAGATATGTAGTAAATCAAAAATCTTGCCATCCCATTCAGCAAGTTAATATTTGCCAAGATCAAAGAAAATTACTCTACGTTCATAACGATGCTTGTTAAATGTCATTCTGTGAATTGCGACTCTTTAATCATGTAATTTTTACTAAAAAAGTAACAATACCTTTGTAGAATCAAACTCCAAAAAAGTGGCCTCAGCGGCGATCTTTGCCTGCTCCGCAGCTGCATTTGCTACCTTGAGCTGCACCACGTCTTGTTCCAGCAAGCTAACCTGAATTTAGAATATTACACTTCAGGGATCTGGAAAATCAACACTTCATTTCATGACTCATACTTGATGCCAGATTGAATAGATATCAACAAACAACGAATTAATAGGAAAAGGTTTTAAATGTAATAGCACTTGAGACCATGTACGCGGGACAGAACAAATTTAGACTGTTACAAAATTTCTATTCGGTATCAAAGACAGACTTATCACCGTAGTTTAATGCTATAGTACTTTCATTAATTACCTAGGAAAATGTCTCTGTAAACCTGTAAAGCAAATTATGCTTGTGAACAGAGTAGAAAAAAGCCGCACCTTCTCTGCAAAGGAGTCCTTGAGCTCAACGACAGCTTCCATTTGCTTAAGAAGACTCCCCATACGCTGATCCATTTCTTGCTTATTTCGAGATAACATTTGCTCAACTTCCGAGAAGTGTTCCATAACCGCTTCTCTCTCAGCCGCCGCTTTCTGTCTTTCTTGAGCTATGCTATTAATGTGTTTGGCCAGGTTTTCATTAGACTGCATTATAGTGTTCTCGTGATCCTTTACCCTCGATTTGAGATGTTCTAATTGCAAGCGAGAATCTCTTTTTTTATTTTGACGATCGTCAGTCTTGCTCTGAATTTTACACTCCAAGGCACAACGCCGCTCCTCGCGCAACACTTCAATGCCCTCCTTGTTCTCCTCGATCGCTGCCGACTTCTTCTTCAAATTTTGCTGCAACAATAAAGCGTGGAAATAAATCTGAAGCGTGACTAACGTATTTGGTTTTTAACCTTATCTTCCGACAAATTAAAGCCTAAAATCGCGGGCTAAAGCTTAAAATCATGGGCTATCCATTTATTTCTTCGCGTTCGAACAAAAAATACCCATGAGGACCAAATTTTTGGGAATAAAAAGAATGTAAATCATGGATATCTGCCAAAATAATCGCATTTCAATCTGTTTATGCTCCTAAATAAATCAGAGAACTTAAGAAGGTATCCATTCAACAGAAAAATTATGAGCTTATGCACAAATAATACGCGTACTCGTAGCTGCTGAATTTGGGTTATGAATCCAGTGTTCGTGGACAGAAGAGCTGTCGTTTCAGACTGCAACTGAGAGAAGCTCAGTTTGCTCAGCTCAAGTTCGGCCTGCAGTCGTCGCATCAAATCCTCATGTTTTACTAAGAAGCTAAAATTTTGTAGATCATCTCCCGTGCTGTTTGGGTTTTGTCAATTAATCTGCGAGTTTTATTTCATTTTTTTTTTGGGCGCGAGTGTTTTATGCCGATTTTACATGTCTATACGTACTTGTTGAAGGTCTACGTCGAATTCTATTTTCGAGTCGTATCGTTTCATTTTGCATTTTGATCAGAATCTGCTAACCGGCCTTTTTTCGAAATTCGAGTTCTGCTTGCAGGAGCTACAGCACTTTGTGCCATAATCTTCCAGAGTTACGGTCGCTCATTTCAGTTTGAGGCTCAACTGATAGGTTTTTCGATTATTCTCTATCATGGCCAGATGTTTAGATTGTTGCTGTATTGCACGGACATCTTGTTGATAATAAATTGAGAGAAGCAAAAAATACTACTAAAATAAAGAAAATACTACTAAAATAAAGAAAATACTACTAAAATAAAGAAAATACTACTAAAATAAAGAAAATACTACTAAAATAAAAAAATAATACTAAAGGTATTAGATGCAGCAAAAAATACCACTAACTTAAACTTCTAAGAAGCATTTGTTCCCATTTTTGATTAATGATAAGTGTTCATTTTGTTTGTAGTCTGTAGGGTACATTATGCGTGTAAGAGAGCAGCGAGAGTGGCACTCGTAATGTCTTGCTCTCAGTTACATAACTGTAACCTTCCGGCGCAGCAGCTAAAGTTCTTTGCCTGGATCATTTCGTTGGATCTCCTCTTCCTTTTCAAGTTCAGATTCCACTTCTGCCTTCGCCTTTAACAAAAAAAGAATTGGTAAAAAAAGACCAACACGTTGATGAAAAAAGACCAAATTCCATGTTACTTGACGAGCATGACTGTCTTTCAAAATAAACCCTAATCATACAATAAAAATCACTCGTTCACCACCTAGTTTACAGCCAAAAAAATAAACAGCCAACTTGAAAATGTTTTACATGAGTGACCTACAGCTTCTCGTTTCTTAATTTACAATGGCATGATTAAAATACTTCAACAAATGCACACAATGTTTTTATTTTCCTACGTTACTTTAAATTTTACCTGTGTAACGTTAAGCAGCTGCTTCTCCAACAAATCAAATCGTTCCCGTGCAAAAGTTACTTCAGATTCCAACTTCTCACGAATGGCAAGACTTTCCTCAGCTTCTTTTCTATTCTTCTCCAGTTCTCCCTAATTGATGATATGCGAATAAACACAGAAAATGTACGTGAAATCTTAAAGCTACTTCGAATAGTCTCAAGCACGTAATGAAACTTGCGTGCGTCTGCATATCGAACGTCATCAGTAAATCTAGAATGAAAAGCAAAAAAACGTTTATTTTCAATGGACTTCATCCACATGTAATGTTAGCTGCCAACACAGCGTCAGAAATTAGAAATGTGTTGCTGCCAACACAAATTCACATAAAACTGTTCGTCCAGACAAGATGACCAAGAAAAGATTAAACTTATCGCACATATAGTAACAAAAAATACATACAAAATATATACCGGTAGTACATCAAAAAATCTAGCTATCCCATTCAGTCAGTAAATATTTGCCAAGATCAAAGAAAATTACTCAAAGTTCACAACGAAGCTTGGTACATGCCATTCTGTGAATTGTGACTCTTGTCATCTAATTATTAATAAAAAGTCGCAATACCTTCATTGAATCAAACTCCAAAAAAGTGGCCTCAGCGGCGATCTTTGCCTGCTCCGCAGCTGCGTTTGCTACCTTGAGCTGCACCACGTCTTGTTCCAGCAAGCTAACCTGAAAATAAAATATAATACTTCAGGGACCTGTGAAAATAAACGCTTCATTTCATGACTACTACTTGATGCCAGTTTAAGTAGGATTATGAAAAACGAATCGATAGGAAACGGATATAAATGTAACAGCACTCGAGAACGTGTACGCGGAATAGAACAAATTTTGACTTTGTTACAGAATTTCTATTCGGAAACGAAGACAGACTTATTACCACTGCTTAATGTTAATAGGTAGTACTTCCATTAATTACCTAGAAAATTGTATCGGTAAATCTGTAAAGCAAATTACGTTTGTGAAGAGGGAAGAAAAAAGCCGCACCTTCTCTGCAAAGGAGTCCTTAAGCTCAACGACAGCTTCCATTTGCTCAAGAAGACTCCCCACACGCTGCTCTAGTTCTTGTTTATCTCGAGATAACATTTGCTCAACTTCGGAGAAGTGTTTCATGTCCGCTTCTCTCTCAGCCGCCGCTTTCTGTCTTTCTTGAGCTATGCTGCTAATGTGTTTGGCCAGGTTTTCATTGGACTGCATTATAGTGTTCTCGTGATCTTTTACCCTTGATTTGAGATCTTCCAACTTCAAGCGTAAATCTCTTATTTGATTTTGACGATCGTCAGCCTTGCTCTGAAGTTCTTCTTTACACTCCAGGGCACATCGCCGCTCCTCGCGCAACACTTCAATGCACTCCTTGCTTTCCTCGATCGCTGCCGACTTCTTCTTTAAATCTTGCTGCAATAATTGAAAGATATCTCAAGTGTTTGGTTATGTAACATTATCTTCCCACAAGTTAAAACCTAAAATCACGGGCTATTCATTTATCCCTTCACATTCGAACAAAAAATACCTATGAAGACCAAATATATGGAAATAAAAAAATCTAAATCATGACTATCTGCCGAATATCTGAATAACCAGTTCATGTTTATAAGATAAATCAGAGCACTTAAAGAAGCTACCCATATAACAGAAAAATTATGAGCTTATGCACAAATAATAGACGTACTCGTAGCTGCTGAATTTGGTTTATGAATCCAGTGTTCGTGGACTGAAGAGCTGTCGTTTCAGACTGCAACTGAGAGAAGCTCAGCTTGCTCAGCTCAAGTTCAGCATGCAGTCGTCGTATCAGATCCTCACGTTGCGCTTCGTCGGCCACTGCAAAGTTGAGGATATAACATTTTCAACCATTCATCACTCAATTAGTATTTAGTTCATATAACAAAATATTACATAAACAAAATCGGTATGTTGAGTAATAGAGAACCACAAATATCATTATATTCCCTTTAGTATTAAAAAGGTATCTGGTGCTTCCTTATATGAAATCTCGTGTATATATATATATGTGATATATGAAATCACAGTAACTGTAGTAAAAGTTTAAGGACATACAATAATTTATAAATACTCAATGGAATATTTTTTGCAACGAGGGTTTCATAAATGAAAGCGTTACTATCGATGTGTGTGTAGAACAGAACTATTTTTGTCCAGCAAATCCCATAGGAAGGCATTGCAACTAAAAATGTTGAAATGCTGATGGAAAAATTGAGAATTAATGAGTATTAAATGGTTAATAATAAATTAGTCACCTTTAGCTTGCTCAAAAGCTGTATATTTAGCAGTGAGTTTTCTCAAGTTATCCTCGAGCGTCTGTTTCTCGGCGATGTGCATTAATACCTCACGCTGCCACTTATCGGCATCCTCCTTCATCTGACAAGCACAAAATTACTGTCAACCGCAAACAAGCAAAAGAAAGTGGAACACAGAAAAAAAACGCATAAATTCGACACCCGTTACAGTAGGTTTAACTAAATTGTAAAACGAGGCAAGCCTTATTAGATGAAAAATTAACATTAAAATAACTTTCACAACATGCCTCTTTAATGTCAGCTTCAGAAGCTTCAAGCTCGAGTAAGACTCGCTGACTGTGCTGCGTGGCCAGGGCCAGAGCTCCCTTCGTAGACTCGAGCTCCAGAAGCGAGTTTGAATACTGGATGCTCAATTCGTCCATCTCAGCTCGGGCTTCTTTAATGCTGCATTAAACACAACGTATGGTCAAGAGTGAAATAGAGTTACACAACTAAACATGAATAACAATTATAATATTGATTAACTCGCGTAGAAATAACGTAATGTGTACAGAATGAAAGCTTAAAACCAAGTTTACTCAAAAACTGTGTGGAAGTCATTGAAAGGAAGGCGAGGTATTCATAATCTGTACATAGTATGTGCTTAGAGGTGAATATATGTGAAATGTCGAAAATGTAACAGAAAATGTAAGGTGGCACGTAGAGTGTAGCTGGATGCCGTCAAAATGAGTAAATCTGTTTCCAGTTTCCGTCAAAATAACCTAAATTGCCCATCCATTCAGTAAATTCAGATGGTCATAAACAATTCAATATATAAGTAGAGAATACCTAATCATGCTCGAGATTGAACACTGTTTTGAAAAAGAAAAAATTTCTGTACTAATTTTAGGAAATAATTATTTTACAAGCCGTTTTTACCCAAGAAGAACATTCATGCACCAAACCATTATAGATAAGGCCTAAATGCCCTTACTTCTTCGCATGGACTTCTTCAGCATCCTCGAGCTCGGATGTCAGCTGAACAATATTTTGCTCAAAATTCTGGATAGTCTTCTCCTTTTCTGCAAGTTTCGAACTGAGTTCAGAGATTGCTTCTTCATTGGCCACACATTCTCGTCTAAGAGACAACACCTTAGATGTTTCTTCGTCTTTTAAGGCTTTTAAGTCATGCAACTCAGCAGCGTGCATATCTTTCAGGCACAACAACGCTGTTTCAGACTCGCTACGAAACTGTTTCAGCTGCTCCTCTAAACAAGCTTGCTTGTTCTGTGCTTCGGACATTTTCACTTCAATTGCGGCAAACGCTTCAGTTTTCTCGCGTAACTGCGCATTGAGCTCAACTTCTGTCGTCTTGTGAGAATCCAACTGCTTTTGTAGGTTGTTAACCAAATCCGTTTTTGTCACTATCTACAGACAGTAATAAAAATATTAATTCTAATAATTTAATTTATTCTGAAACTTCAGTATGTAGTCTATAACAATAATAACATAAGCAGCACAATAAAAATTATCAAATATACTTTGGCAGTCAGGGGCCGTACTATCAAAATTAGTTAATAGTTTCTAACTCCGTCAGCCTTTCACTGACGGCTAGTTAAGCAAAACACACCGAACACAGAAGAGAATTGGACCGCTACGTGTACTTAGGCCACTACACACGTTTGAGCGAGATTTGATAGTACGGTTCTAGCTTGCCAAGCCTTAGCTCGACAGGAGCCTAGTTTCTGGTCTCACCTCCTCCTTCAGCGTGGCTATCGTTTCCTCGCGTTCGTCAATATCGTAATCTTTTGCAGCTAACGAGGCTCGAAGAGCCAACACCTGACAAACAAATAATTGAACACACAAAATCTCAAATAAAGTAGTTCTGTTCATGACATTGTAGAATAATAGCATTAATTATATTTTGTAGCTCAACCTAACATTGAAATGACTTTGAAAAGTGAACAGCAGGAACTTTGTATCACAGCAAGGTTAAATAATTTATTTAGCAACTGGACATAAATGTACACATATCAACAAAGAAGCATAAGTATAAATGAATACTATTCATTAAAAATCTAATTCGGAGACTTATTTCAACCAGCAAAATTTTCGAAATTAGATCAACCAGCCAACAGCAACAAACCTGATTGAGCTGACCCTCGACCTCTTCTTTAAGATCAAGAGATTCTTGTCGCACTGTGGTGAGCTCGTTAGCAAGTTCTTCTATCTTCTTCTGGCTAGCCGTGATCTGATAGATACGTAAAAGGTATATTTTATTGAAACTATCACAAAAAAAAAGAAGAGCTGAAAAATAAGTTATTCTGAAGTTCCATTGAACATAAAACTTAAATTGGAGACGAAATTTCGATCAGAATATAATCAAGGCAGAATCAAGCAGGCACTATCTGTGTCTGCTCTCAAGTGGCATCCGTGCGGACAAGCAGTAGATCGTATATGAATGGATTGAAGGACAAGCGGACACAAAAAGTGATCTCAGAATGACACCAATTTTATTTTCCCCAACTTAGGCGACCCTTTGTTGTATTTGATCAATTTAGGAATTCATCAATTATTTTATTTTCTCAGAAGCGCGAATTTCTTCCGCAACTTTATAGCATATGTTGAAGTATGTTTAAAGTCCTTTCATAAAACTAATATCCAAGACTTGTTCTTCACAAATGTTACTTCTCCAAGTTAATTCCAACACAACAGTTATGGATCATGCAAAAGTGGCTCTAATCTAGAAGAGACTATCATGCTCTATGCTGGACACATAGGTATCAGGCTAGCTACTTTATATACTACTACATTCACAACGATGTTTGGGAGACAGATCACAATAAGTATCTTTTCTAAGAACATGAACAAGTTGCCACTCTACGCTGTGCATCAATTCAGCGACTGATTTTTGGACCGCTCTCAGCTGGCTTGTTAAGTTCTTTCACAAGTTAAAATAACCTTTTGATGTCATTATAAGAAAGGTTTACGGCATTCAGCTCGTCCACAGCATAAATATAAAAGATAATTCTCAAATTTAAATTTAAAGCCTCAAAAACATGTGACGAAGAATTTCGTAACGTTCGAGTTACGAAATGTCTACCGATAATTAAAAGGATTAAATGCGGCACTGTAACCTGAGCTCTTTCCTAGAAAAACAGTGACACAGTTTTTCGCTAAAAGAATTCAATAAGTAATTAGGAGACAACATTGAAGCGCTGAGTAAAAAGCTTATACATACGATTTTTTTCTCTAAGCCAAAAAATAATATTAGGTACAAAATAATATTAGGTAACTTGAATAGAATTTGGCGACATTTTACCTTTGGCGACATTTGATAAATTTATACTTGTAAGACAATTTTTGATGTTCATAAAGCTTACCTCTTCCTTCTTGCCACGCAACTCCTGTTGTAGGTGCTTCTGATTCTCAACCGAGGTAACAAGCTCCAGTTCGACTTGCTTTAAGCTCTTCTCTGCGTTTTCTCGTGCCGCCCGCTCAGACGACAGCTCGCAATCTCGAGCCAGAGCTTCTGCGAGTTTGGTCTCGATTGCCGTATAAGATTCCTCTAACAAGTTCATCTGAAAATATGAAAGAATTAGTATATACTGTCTCTACTAATTCGTGTAAAGTTATAATATTTTAGGCCGGTTGCAAGCATACAGAATACGTTGCTGAAATTAAACTCGATCCCGGTACTGAAGTGGTTGCTAAAGGTAATATAATTATTCAAAAGGTCGCTTTACCTTCTGGTTTAAAAATAAAAAACAAAAGTGAGAGGATAAAATGCAGAACAATCACACATAAAATTGATTTCAACCTTTATGTTAAGACATTTGACAGTAACTCCAGTGGAAGATGAGTCCCATTTTTTATTTAAAAATTTTCTTTACTTCAGCCAGCAAGTCACTGAATCAGCCAGCAAGTCACTGAATCAGCCAGCAAGTCACTGAGTCAGCCAGCAAGTCACTGAATCAGCCATCAAGTCACTGAATCAGCCAGCAAGTCACTGAATCAGCCAGCAAGTCACTGAATCAGCCAGCGAGTGATGGTACCTCGCTGTTCCGTTGCCTGATCTCTTCTTGTAATAAAATTTCCATGAGTTCTTTTTCTTTAACGAGCACCTCGAGCGCCTGCACATTCTCCTTTAAAGCTGTAATCGTGCTCTCCTGTTCTGTGGCATCATGTCGAAGTTGCGTCACTTTAGCCTCGTAATCGCAAATCTAGGGCGTGGAATAAAAATTAGACATTTTATAGAAAAATACGTTACATTTAATATAATATTATTGTGACGTAATCACCAGAAAATTTTTGTTATTAATTATGCAAGGAGATCAATAGGCTTCCAGCTCCGAATCCAAGCAACTGAAGCTGAACGTCCATGATACACTCACAGTAACAAGTGCAGGACGTGTTCCGTTTCATGGCAAGGTAATAAGAACGATAGGCTAATTTTGTAGTCCTTTACACATTCGGAACCTTCAATGAGTTACACTCGCAAAATTTTTCGAAAATAACCTTGAATTGCTAGCAAAACTTCCTTTGTGAAGCAAATTATGCCATCAAGGCACAATAAAACGAAGTTGACAATAGACAACAAATTATGACTGTATTATGACTGGTTATCCTTATTGCAAAAGCTTCAATTCTGCTCATGCTGTTCTTGTTTGGATCCACTTGAAGGTCAGATAAGCGTTTTGTAGCAAAAATAAAAATAGTGAAGCTGTATAGAAGGAGCTAAGAAGCTGTATAATATTCTGAGATGCTTTTCTCAGCAATATACGTTAAAAACTACTGTTCTTTCTCACGCTCCTCTTCGCAACACTAAATAATAACTAATGCTTTACGCATAAGTTTAAATGTGCACAAAATAAACGAGAAGGAATGCATACTAGAAATGAGGGATTGAGTGCCAATAACGGAACGGTGCAAAGGGCTAAACACGATTTGAAACAAGTTTAATTTTATGAAAAATGAACGGAAATCATTGTTATGACTTAAGCAGATTCAAAGGTTTAAACCTCATTTATTTCATCTCAACAATCTTACGTTAAAATTTCGAGAAAATCGCAAGGAAAAAAACATATCTTCATGGTTTGCCCGTGCCTTAAGACTTCTCAGGAACTGTTGCTACGGCGCTCAATTGGATTTACAGAATTTAGTCATCGTTATCCAGTGAAAACGTCTTGCCGATTCTAAGGCAACCGCGCCGGGCCCATGGTCGGCGGATTCAAGTCTGATTCCCGGCCCCATTTTATTTTAATGCAAATGAGCAAACAACGATGAATTGAAAAATATTTTCAATAATTCAAATACTATATTTAAAGCAGTTCCTATAGTTTGAACGGGTAACCATGAAGTCAGCAGAAGGATTTGAAGTAAAGCATAAGCCTAACGTTGTAGATCAAATGAGAATTCTAATTCGAATTCCAGGTGATACTGATGAAGATGTTGAGTCAGCACTTACTTTGTCTTTAAGCTGCGATAGTTCCGTCTGGAGCGCTGATATTTGCTGCTTGTGATCCTGGGCCAGTGCGCCGTTGGAGGCAAGCAGGGACTTGTAGCGTTGACTGAGGGTCTCCACACAACGCGAGATGGAGGACGATGCAAGGACACCCTCTTCGTCTTCACCACCATGCAACTGAGAAGCAGTACGGAATTAATACTACAATCACCATAGCTGAACTCACACTACGTACATAAAAATCTATCTGTGACAAATCAAACAAATGTAAATAATCACTTTGAAAACAACTATTTGGTTTTCAGACAGTCAGACGGATCATATTGTCTGAAAATCCGAATGTCTTTTCAACTAATGTTGAAAAAATGCTGAAAAAATCTCAATGACAGTAGAAGCGCCTTTTACATAGTTCTAGGAACTTTGAGTGGCTAAAAATAATTTTTGTATTAATAATTAAGTTTTCGATACTGACTTGAGATTTTGACGCACATTTTCAGAACCCGATCCTATGGACATCTGTTATTCTGAGCAAATAATTAAAAAAATAAGGATCAAAGAGAAAATCTCTAACTAACCTCAAACTCGTAACAGGAAAGAATGTCCCGGCAATGCTCGAGCTGCTGCTTGTGCTCCTGACACGCTTCTTGCAAGCGAGTGCACTGAAGCTCGAGGTCGGCGATGAGAGCGTTCTTATGAACAACGCTGGCTTCGAGGTTGTCGCGCAGCATTGTTAGGTGCGCCACTTCCTCCTTCATGAGATCTTCCTGTGAAAGCTCGGCCGTATCACTGATACCACCGACGATAGCAGCACCCGCATCCCGCGTTGGAGATGTGATCTGTAAATGCATAAGCATAGATGAAGCTTCTATTCAAGTTGACGGTTGTATTTCTCCCGAGATTATTACGAATTTCACTTTCGACTGAAGAGTCTTGTTTAAATACTTTCATGATTAACACCAGGTTTTTCATTTCATTTACTACTTTATATCGATCAATGCTGTTGCAGCCAGAAATAGAACATAATATAGAAATTAAGAAATTAGAAAATTATTGACTTTATCTTAAAGTTATTTGTTGTAATATTCCACTGAATCTCTACAATTCATTAATATTTTAGCGTTTCTATCAGATACACGATAGTAAAATAGTCATTGACAAGCAATACTAATCACCGAGCAGAACGAAAGTCTCGCAGACTAAAAGAACAATAAGAAGCACAATGATTTTATGAACAAATAACTTTAAAGTAAGTACTCTGATCGAAAATTCAATCAAAACCTTCGATTCCAAAAAGAGGAATGTGCATCTCAACCATCTCCGTCTACCCAGCTTCCTGGCATGCTAGGCGGTCGGGCAGAGGGCACAGCCCTGGCTCTACCCTGTCATGCCAATCTCGGACTCAAACATGGCTTCCTACGCTGGCGTCAACTGCCAAAAGTTGGCTCTTCTCTTTCCGACTTTCTTCTTTACCGTTTTCATGCTGATTGACTCGATTCCAACCCAGGCCTTCACCCATGCTCAGTTTGAGCTATCATAACTTGTAGACCTTATGTGATCCTAGAGTAAAATGAACTAACAAGATCTACAGATCTGCTCTCTATCCACTTTTAATCTCCATACGTCATACTTTCAACTTGGCGCCAGGCTGCTCTGGTTCCCACAAATGCCTGCCCTCACAGATCCCTTGTCTTGTCTGCTATCTCCTTTTCATCCCCCATTTAAATGGTAACCGCTTATAATCAAGTGCACTGGAGCTGTCCGCATTACTCACTAAGGTTGTGACTGTAGCAGTGTAGCTGATCATCCAGGAGCAAAAATTCCTATTACCTTACCATCCGAAATTCACGGCTACGCGGTTAGCACGCTAACAGCCCTGAAGGTCGCGGGAGCGGCCTCATAGCTTCGCGCGGCAGGAATTGTCCTAGTCTGCGTTGTGCACCGACAACACTCAAAAATAATAATATGTGTTTAAAAATTACCTTTCAGAGACAACACTTCTAAAGAATTCAGTGTCTTTGATGTTACATATGTACAATGAATTTCTAATTTTATTTTCTTATATTAAAAAAATGATTTTAAATTTTGTTATAGAAATTTTGTAAATTTTCAAAATTATTCATTCTGTCAATTGATTTGTGCACTGTCTCTAACTTTACGCAAGTATGCAAAATTTCAGATCGAATGGACAGGTAGAAGTGTGTTAAATATCGATTATAAGATTTGTAGCAGACAAACAAACAAACAAGAAGTGAAGTTAAAGAGAAGTGTTGTAATAATAAAATAACATTACCATTTTTCTTGGGTCACGTCATCACTACTCTTTTAATGGTAGCTGTCTGCATTAACAACCTTTTTAGTCTCCCAACCATATATTGCCATCCGGGCAAGAGACCAAACAAGCATCCTCTCCATTATAGATTTATAGATGCTCGAGTTATCGTTTGGGAACATCAATGCCCACAACGTCCCATGCTTCACAACGTTCCATGCTTCACAAACGACTAGAGAGCCACGGCAAGATGGGTTATAGATGCCTACTTCACTAGCACTTCTCTAATATAATTCAGCACCGGCTGACCAGCTTCGGTCAGAACACCGCAGCTTGTTAGATTCCCACATACTCGTGAAGGAGCGGCAAGTCTATCCTAAATTACTAAGTACGAGGGTGAGATCTAATCCAGCGAGAACTTCTTTTCCAATTTTACCCACTCACCTGTTAACCTTCATTTTAGCGTTTGTTGGCATCAGCATTGTGAGATTTGATTTCGTTGTAGCTTTGAAATCTGAAATTACTAAGTATGAGGGTAAGATCTAATCCAGCGAGAACTTCTTTTCCAATTTTACCCACTCACCTGTTAACCTTCATTTTAGCGTTTGTTGGCATCAGTATTGTGAGATTTGATTTCGTTGTAGCTTTTTAGTTTGTGGTGTCTAATTTATATTTGATATTTTGGTAGCCCAATATTTATTTCTGACCTCTAAATTTTCGAGTGCAGCGCGTTTTCGTAGCTAGTTTACCGTCCCTCGAGTCGAAATCGATTTTCACGATGGCAAAATTTTAACGTTGTATACAACAATAATAAATTTGATGGTCAAGTTTTGGGAAGCTTGAAAATTTGAGTGAAATAAAGAAAATAATTAGTGTAAATCAGTTTTGTATCCTTGACGACCGACTAATTATTTTATGAAGATGTTTTTTAGGAGTCAGATCAAGCAGAAGAGTTTAACTCGTTGTGAACACCGGAATTGTAAACTGTCTGTGGTCAGGTACCTAGATCCTGCATAGCACTTCAAGATTCAACAAGTATCATTCAGATCAATAAAAACTAATGTATATTAATGTATTTGAAATATCTAACTGGAAATGAAAGCACCTGCAATTGCTGCAGTTGCAGGAGAAGACCACTTTTTTCATCCTGCAGGGCAGACACGGCGCACTGAGCTGCACCAAGTTGTTGCTGGGCCACTTCAAGTAAAGCTGAACTGGTTTTCTCGGCTGAAAAATCAAACCAAATAATTTAGTACAAAGCCACACGGTAATTTGGAAGATAACATAATATTGTTACAGTGAGTAAGCGACTTTAGCTATGATGTACAACAAAAATAAGCAATTGCAGCACTTGAATAAAATGCAATTAAATTCAAATTTGTCACAAATCAACTGAATATTTTTACTTCATAAGTAAGCTCACCGATTGCTCCCTCATTGTCTTCAATTGGCTGCTCTTTTTCATCAGCTTCTCTGCTCTTTAAGCTGGCTAATCTGCAAGCATTGAATTGTTTAACAGATAGAGACCTACGTAAGTAGTTCATTCTCACATATATGCATTTACTTAAATGTTTTAGTGGTTGTCTTAAAACAAATATTGAATTAAAAACATCCAACAAGCCAAAACATGTAAAAAAATTGTGTGGTCCTACAAGTAAACATTTTGTATTACCTATACAAATCACGATGCAGATTCATAGGAATAAACAGAACAGATCTACTGACAGTTTGTCAAAGATGCTTTAACTGCAATCTTCCTCACTTTTGCTCCAGGGAAGCAACCAGCCTCTGGAGCTCATCTCTTTCTCGCTGCAGAGTAGCAAGCTGCAGCTTGACGCCATCACTTTTGTCTCTAGCACTTCTAGCGCAGCTCGAACGAGGAGCCCGGGGGGTGATGGGCTAAAAAACAAAAAAAATAATGTATACTAGTAAAATAGTAGAAAATAACTGTAATAAGAATATTAGAGGCTGACAAGTTACGATTTTGGAGCCACAAATTGCACAGACCAAATTTTCATTCAAAGGAGTCCTTTAAAAAAAAAAGATGATACACTACCAGAGATAATAACACAAATACAAGTTCACAATGTTTGCAAATGCATCTCAAATGGCCTTTGTTTATTAATATTACATGTATATGCATGCCAATGTCAACAAATAAATTTTTCTATGGCCACCTATTTTCTACAAGAGACACATTTGTCAACACTAAATCAAATTAAATAAAGATATTGTATTTTTGATGCAATGCATAATAATCTGGAATAACTGCAATTAATTACCATGACAAAAAACCTTTCTTCATAAAAGATATTTCATGATGAAGGAACGAAAGCCATCCTTACCAAAGGCTACATGAGAAAGCTTACACTGAGAAAAACGCTCCTTTTAGATGATGAGCTCAAGTCAGAATTAGATGAGCAGTTGCTTAACGTGGACGAGTTGAGTATGCTGGATGAGGTCGTGGAAGTAGGAGATCTGTGACGAGGCTTAGACCGCGACCCGTGGGCAGAACGGCCAGGAGTTTTGATTTGAGGGATGTCCACGGATATGTAGGCATTTGGTGCTGGCAGATTCTGAGGCACCAAATTTTTCATAAGAAATGCGAGATAATGTAAGAAATATTGCCATACAACTAAAGGTGGAGTGTGTAAATGTTAATATTTTGAAGATCATTTCAATCAAATCTGCAGCTCACTGCTTCAATTAAACACATAACTGGCAACTAATAAGATATTAGTTAATAAATAGCATACGTTGATCTGAAATAATTCAGAAGAATATATATATATATATATATGAGTTTGATTGAAGACCAGAGCATGCTTCTTATTAATAATCTTCTTATTCGTCTTTTCAATGACTCGAACTAAGTTTCTAGCTGGCGAATAAGTTTCAATGAAACTAAGTTTCATTGAAAAGACGAATAAGAAGATTATTAATAAGAAGCATGCTCTGGTCTTCAATCAAACTTGCATAAAAGTTGCATGTTTCAATTCAAGTTTAATTTAGCTAGTAAAAAAATGGCATCATTTATAAAAATAAAAGTGGTCTAAGTTACCCCATTTTACGGTAATGACTAACCAATTGATAAAAAAGTACACAAATTTACAGTCATACTAAATATTTACAGTCCTCAAAATTACCTAAAATCTTCCTAAGACTTCCTCAAGTAATGTCTTAAAAATCAATCATATGAGCAAAACAGATAAAAAGTTATCAAAGATGTGTTAACTAAAGCTCCAGACTGACCTCCTTGTTTTCCTTCCATCTCTCACTTCTGTCTAGTGACAAAGCTACATTTTTTTCCAGTGGCTTGGGGTTGTAGGCAGTGGGCGGAGGTGCACAGCCTGTGAAAAAATTATTAAATTGATAAAGTACCAGGAAATTTCACCAACCAGAAAACTTTGTTGTCAAGGCAGATATACACTGAGAAGCATACCGTCAAATGGGGTAATAAGGGACAATTTGAACATTTTTCGTTAACAATTTCTTACTATTAAACATTTCAAAAACAAGTTTGAGCGCATTTTAGAGATCTTTGCAAAGGCTATATTCTGGCATCTCTGAAAAGATTCCATATGCTATTCACAATGTGCCAGAAGCAAAAAAGCAACCCAAATTACCCTTGGAAACTGGATAATTAAGGACACAGGACACTTGATATAAAATTTAATTTTAAAACGTTTGAAGCGCACAGAGTGTACTCATCTGTTACTAACAGGACTCCAAAGTCCTCTTCTTCCTGTTTAGATGATGTAGACAAAAAAATAAATGACATTTTCTGCAATTTATACCTGGTTTTTCCTTTATTAATATGATATTACCATACCCATGTACATGCCATTGGGCATTGACAATGACCTTGTCCACTGCAAGCTTCATATCAGCAGCCATATAGCATTTCTTCTGAATCTGTAAGCTTACAGGTCTAGGCTTGTAAATTGGCACCATTTAAATTGGGTCAAGTGAATTCACTATAACAAAAAAGATCATAAAAACGTACCTGAAACAGAAAGGACTATTCTATTGAAAACCATCATATTTTCTGGATAAATAAATCATAGTTTAGGATAATTACTTGTCATTCTATGTTGCCCAGTGCAAAATTCTATCAATGACATTCTATGCACAATTTTTGTAAGGGTAAATGATTCATTATTTTTTTGTTAAGTGAAATTTTTCACAGAGCTAGGCAAATGTAATCAGAATTCTTTCTTGATAATAGATTTTTTTTCTTTACCTGGAGCCTATGCTAACTGGAGTTCTACTGCAAATGCATTTTTAGGGGTGTCCCTTAATACCCTGTTGTGCAGAAATGGCTGCCATTTTGTTTTGGATTGAGGTACAAAAATTCTGTCAATGAAGTTTCAGAGTGGACACCTGTCTGCAGCTATATATGGCCCCACTAAGAAATCTTTATGAAGCTATTGCATGAGCACTGCATTCATCAGTTATCACCAGATTCACCACTAGCTCCACCATAAAAAAATAAATTTCCACCCATTTATGTAACTTTGAATGAATACTGCACTTGAACAATTCTTTTAACCCCTATTTAGCTCAATAGAATAAGATTCGCATCTGTTATTAACATGTTTCTTAAAAATACTCTCATGTAAAAGGAACAAATTTCAGTCAACCTCTGCACCATAGATGCAGAAAAAAAAACACAAAGCCTCATATGGTATCTACAACACGGGATCACATTCATTTAGGGAGCAATCCACATGAGTCCCTGGCAAGCATAATTTTTTTGAAAGGCAATATTTTTCACTACAGATCTTAGCTTAGCAGATGTACTTTTTTAAAATATCACGTTTTATCATTCTTTTCAGGGATTTTTTTCAGAGCTAGTGAATGTATGATTTCATGACTTCTCTTCACTACATAGATAGTAAAAATCTTGAAGTGTTGCAATATTTCAATTAATTTTGCTGCTATAACATTTTTACATTATGGTAGAGGACTGTTTCAATTTACCCCACCCAATGGCATCCATCCCATCCCTTATTACCCTGTTTGAACTTTTGAAGGCATGTCTAATTTTCCTGTTTTCAGTTAACTGGCCACAATCACATATTTGTTTGTTCAAAGCTCTGCTATGCATAATATAATGGAATGCAATCAATTTTATCAAATTTTTTGTGATAAACTTGCAATCACGCTATAAATCAATTAGGTACGTATCAATTTATCAATCAATTTAAAACTGCGATTAGAAGATTTAGAACTTAGCCAAATTCAGGAAAATAAAGTCATCTGGCATATTGAACACAGGCTAGATGATATGGGTATTGGGTAAATTGTCATCAAGCTCCTACACTGAGTGACACGGTGAGTGTTAATCTAGTACAGTGGTTCCCAAAGTGGGCGATATCAACCCCCTAGGGGTGGCGGAAAGATTTTGGGGGGCGGTAAGGAAGAAGAGGACGGCAGGGAGGCGGTAGGGGGAGCAGCAGTTCAAAGTCAGAAGTTCGAACGTTTGTTTGACGGTTTGTTCACAACACGTGCAGCACATGACTCCCAGCAATGGTTTTTTTCACCCAGATCTAATTTTTAACCTCTCCTAGGTTTACATCTCGGAAAAATTAACAGTTGGACTTGCGGCCGGCCTCAAAGCCAATTTCCAAATTCAATGATCAAGAAATATCTCTCAAACTAATGAATGTAACTCAATGAAACTTAGTACACCTACACGCTACATGTATTCATTAGGACCTAACAGTAATGTTTGGCTTGCAGAAATTTTTTAATTTTGCCTTCATTTGCAAGTTATATGGCACAATACAGGCCAAAATTCACAGTGATCAAGGAATTTCTTCACTGAACAGATTTGAACAAAATTTTGAATTTACAGTCCAAACTACCAAGCGGTAATGTTTAGCTTGCAAAATTTTTTTTTTCAATTTTGATTTCGTTTGCAATTTTTTTTTCATTTCACATTCATTCATGATTTAAACAGCAATATGTGCTTAAATTTGCAGTAATCAAGAAATTTCTTCCAAACTAGATTGGAACAAAACTTAGTAGGGTAAACGCGGTATATTCCGACATTGTGGGTAATTCCGACACGGTGACACCTCTCTAGTTTTTCCTTTATATTAAGCTTTGTCTTAGTTCCACGCATTCGTTGATGGTTGAAATAGTGACGTCATACCATTGCGCGCCAAACTATTGCCAAAACACTAGGTCTGCGCCGTCTGGCAGGAAAATGTTGAGATCCAAAGAGAGACAATGCATGCCACGTGGTGAGATCATCTAAAAATGTGTCAAATTTGACAGTTGACCTTGCTCTACCAAACAATGATAAACTGTTAGTGTAGAAAGAATATTATGGTTTGAGACTTAAATAAGCCTGTGAATATATTAGGAATCCTTTAAGTATACTTGTATTTGCTGATTTCAAGTCATAAATAAATTAATAGATGATAAAGTGAAAAACAGGTATAGACACATAGAAACTAATTCCGACACAACTTGAATTGGACACACACAGCTCATTCCAAGTTGTGTGCAAAAATTAAAATTTTCTTAATTTAAAGCTTAATAGCTTAATTAAAAGCCTAATTAAGTAGTGTTCAATATTCAATAGTGTTCTAATTCGAAGCAGTGTTGTATTCCAATACAGCTCACACAGCGATCGGAATTCAAACACAAGGACGTCAGAATTACGTATTAGTAGAGTTTGAAGCGCAGCCAGAATTCGTCTCACAACGTGCCAAATTTAGTCACACACAGTGTCGGAATATAGGGATTTGGTAGGTTTGCAGTCTAAAGGCTTTTAAATAAACATGGCAACATTTTGTGATGTTTCATTGTTGCTGGTGCGTAGTGCAGTGTTTTGAGAGTCACGTAAAGCAAACAGAACTCAAGTAACGCATACGGTTATTTTTTTATAGTTTTTCATTTCGATGATGTGTCCTTAATGTGTCAAAATGTACTGCGTTTACCCTATTTAAATATTTAAATAACCTAACCTCAGCAACAGTGATGTTTAGCTCATTACAATTTTTTCAATTTTGCCTTCATTAGTGAGTTATACGGCTATATGTAAACAGCTCTTGGTTAAACCAGCCGGTAGAAAAGCCTGTTGTTTCTCAAATATCTGTGTAACTCACAAACAAAAGCAAAATAAAAAAATTTTCACAAGCTAAATATTGCCATTGGGAGCATAGTGGCAAAGCAGAGTTTTTTAGACTCTCCCTCAAGTCAGCATTATCATACTTAAAAAATTGGCTTAAATCTTAAGTAAATGAGGAAATTATAAATGAACTGATTCTAAAAAAGCTCTGGTTTGCCACTATGGTTGGGAGGATAGGTATTTGTAGGGTAAACGCGGTATATTCCGACATATACCACGACAATAGTGACATCATACATTTGCGCATCAAACTACTGCCAAAACACTAGGTCTGGGCCATCTACTCGGGAAAATGCCGAGATCCAAAGAGACGGTGCATGCCACCCAATGAGATCATCGAAAAATGTGTCAAAGTTGACAGTTGACTTTGCTCTACCAAATAGTGATAAACTGTTTGTGTAGAAAGAATATTATGGTTTGAGACTTTTAAATACATCTGTGAATATATTAGGAATCCTTTATAAAAATTAAAATTTTCTTAATTAAAAGCTTAATAACTGTTAATTAAAAGCCTACTTAAGTAGTGCTCAATATTCAATAGTGTTCTAATTCAAAGCAGTGTCGTATTCCAATACAGCTCACACAGCGATCGGAATTCAAACACGTGGATCATAGTGGCAAACCAGAACTTTTTTAGAATTAGTTCATTTTTAATTTCCTCATTTACTCAAGATTTAAACAAATTTCTTAAGTATTATAATGCTGGTATCCAGGATACTTTACTCTCACTGGTCTACTTATAGGACTCAAAAATGAGCTTGAGGGAGAGTCTAAAAAACTCTCTGCTTTGCCACTATGACATCATTGACGTGGATGTCGGAATTACGTATTAGTACAATTTGAAGCACGGTCGGAATATGTCTCACGGTCTCACACTCTCACCACGTGCCGAAATCCGAATATAGTCACGCAGTGTTGGAATAGGTATAGGGATTTGGTAGGTTTGCATTCTAAAGGCTTTAAAATAAATATGGCAACATTTTGTGACGTTTCATTGTTGCTGGTGCGTCGTGCGGTGTTTTGAGAGACACGTAAAGCAAACAGAACTTGAGTAACGCATACAATTTTTTTATAGTTTTTTATTTCTCGATGCGCCCTTAATGTGTCAGAATATACCGCGTTTACCCTATACAAAGTTTTATTGAAATCTGTTCAGTACTTTAGTTTGGTTGTTAGGAATGTATATTCAAAATTTCATTCATAGCC